TCTTGTTGAGCCAAAGCATCAAGCCACAGACCCCTTTTCTTGGGTAAATCCCTCCAGGTATTACAGTTATGCTCTCAGGTCTGCAGGTAAGCCTCCCAGGTGTGTACCCCCCTCGGATCTGTGGCTTGTAGCTGAGGCTGCACCAGTGGCCCCCTTCTCTGCACTCCTCTCACATTTCTACCCCTAGCCGCATGCTCACTTCTCTTCAGTTCTCTCCTTTCCGTTGAGGGGAGGGGCGTGGGGGTCAACACCGCCGCTCCCTCGCGCTCCTCCCCTGTGGCCGTGCAGGTGGCAGTGGTGGGAGGGGAGGGGGGCAGCACTCCACTCGGCTGCGGTGGGAAGGGAGAGTATGGGGCTGGGTCGTCTGAAAAAAGGTGAGCCTCTTTTCCCCTCCCTGCCACAGATGCTTGAGTGTCTGTTCTTTCATTCTGTCTAGCTGTTGCTAACTCTTCTCCCCACCATGCTCACTGCTGTCCCTTGCTCCCTGCCTCTCTCACCCCCCTCCCACATTCTTCCCCTCACTCATACAGAACTGGCAGTGGCGGGGGACATGGAGTGCACAGGCAGCAACTTTTCTCCACCCAACCCACCCGCAGCCAAGTTCCTGCCCTGCCTCTCTACTCCCGTTCTCTCTTGTTTTCATTGCTGCATCTCCTGTTTCTTCTCGCTTCAAACGCAAGCCTCTGTTTCAGCCAAAGCTTCAAGCCACAGACCCGTTTTTTCTAAGGTAGATCCCCCTTGGTACAGTAGGTATACTCTCAGGTTAAGCCTTCCTAGGTATATTTCCCCCTTGGGTCTGTGGCTTGTAACTTTGGTTGCACCTGTGGCCCCTTCCCCTCTGCTTCTTCTGATCGTGCATCTCCTCCTTCACCCCCTCGCCTCTCCTCCTGTCACTCACTATTTCTCTGTGGGCCATTGCAGGTGGAGGGGAGGGGCGTGGGGGTCAACACCGCCACTCCCTCACATCTCTCCCCTGTGGCTGTGCAGGTGGCTGTGGTGGGAGGGGAGGGGGGCTGCACTCCATTCGGCTGGGGTGGAAGGGAGAGTATCGGGCTGGGTTGTCTGAAGCAAGGTGAGCCTCTTTCCCTGCTACATATGTCTCCTTTCCCTCTCTTCAATTCTGCATTCTCGTTTTTGCTCGCTCTAGTGTTCTTCGGTTTACTTGAGTGTTTCCTTGATGCCAACTTACTCGCTCCTCCTGCCCCTCCTCTCCTGTCCCTCCCCCTCCCCTCCCTCCCCCCCCCCCACTTTCTGCCCGCTACCAGGTCACTTGGCAACAAGAGAAGATTGCAAAAGAGGAAGCAGAGTAGCAGACCGGCAGCAGCAGTTGCAGCAGCAGAAGCAGCGGCGGCAGCAGCTGTAGCAGCGGTGGGGTTGAGGGGTTGGGGGCAGGCTAGGCTAGCTGAAGCTCTGGGGAGGTGTGGTATCAGGTATGGTACGGTAGCAGGTGAGGTAAGGTATCAGGTGAGGTATGGTTGTCTGATTCTCTCCTCTCTCTCTTCCCCCTCCCCCCCGTGTTTTTTTTGCAGCCTGAGAGTGGGAGCACTGAAGCAAGGACAGGAGAGTGAAGTCCACCCTCTCACTCACCTCCTCCTCTCTCCCTTTTCCCTTCCCTCCCAGCAGCACCCTACCTGGACCACAGTGGAATCCCCTCCTTCCGTTCATCCCCCCCTCCCTTCAACCACCCCCTCCCCAGCAGCCTAAGGCATCATGGCGCTCTGCATGGCTCTGGTAGGTAGAGGTAGGTAGAGGTAAGGAGGCATGGGGGTGAAGTGTGAGGTGGGTGGGTGGGTGGGAAGCATGGGAGTGAGTGGGCAGTTCACTGCCTTAGGGGCAGCACCTTCTGGGGTTGTGCGTTGTGGGTCGGGGTGTGGTGGGTGGAATCCGCGCGGCACGGCACTCGGTGCTCAAGTAACCGATCTGGCGCTCAAGGCCTAATGGACACCGTCAGAGCCGACCGGCCGGCGGCTCTGGTTCGCGTCAGCTCTGGCTACGTCAGGGGTGGGATTTGAGTCTTGGGCTGGAAGCAATTTTCTACTACCACTCCTTACCCTTCAAGGCACAACCTCCTGGGGTTGTTGTTTCCGAAGGGGAGTGGGCTGTCTGCTGCGCCTACTGCTATTAGGTGAGTTTGGGAAAGAGCTGGTTGGGCTGGGTGGTGGTGGTGGTGAGAGGCAGTGGGGTTGGCAGTGGCACATGATGAGCCGTTTGGCACTGATGCCACCTGTTGCATGAGAGCATGATGCTCATTTGGGTGGCATGGGATGAGCCCTAGGGCACTGATGCCACCTGTTGCATGAGAGCATGATGCTCATTTGGGTGGCATGGGATGAACCCTAGGGCACTGATGCCACCTGTTGCATGAGAGCATGGTGCTCATTTGGGTGGCATGGGATGAGCCCTAGGGCACTGATGCCACCTGTTGCATGAGAGCATGATGCTCATTTGGGTGGCATGGGATGAGCCCTAGGGCACTGATGCCACCTGTTGCATGAGAGCATGATGCTCATTCGGGTGGCATGGGATGAGCCCTAGGGCACTAATGCCACCTGTTGCATGAGAGCATGATGCTCATTTGGGTGGCATGGGATGAGCCCTAGGGCACTGATGCCACCTGTTGTATGAGAGCATAATGCTCATTTGGGTGGCATGGGATGAGCCCTAGGGCACTGATGCCACCTGTGGCATGAGAGCATGATGCTCATTTGGGTGGCATGGGATGAGCCTATGGCACTGATGCCACCTGTTGCATGAGAGCATGATGCTCATTTGGGTGGCATGGGATGAGCCCTAGGGCACTGATGCCACCTGTTGGTACAGTGGCATGGCACAGTGTGCACGGTACTGTGTGCATGTTACAGTGTGCATGGTACAATGTGCATGGTACTGTGTGCATGTTTCAGTGTTCATAGTATTGTGTGCATGTTACAGTGTGCATGGTACTGTGTGTATGGTACAGTCTGCATGTTACATGGATGTTACAGTGTGCATGTTTCAGTGTTTGTGTATGGCATGGTGTGGACCATGGCATGGCATGCCATCCTGTGTATGCATGTGTGTCATCCGGCATGGTATGGCATGCCATGGTGCACTTTCCTTTATTGTATGGTGCATATGTCGGGATTGCTTACTGTGGCATCTCACGTTGTGGCATTCCAGACTGTTGGCATGCCATGCCATGCAATGCCATGGTGTAGGATGTGATTGTGTGGTGGCATAGCATGTTGGGGATGCCATCGTATGGGATGGCATGCATTTGTTTGAGGTGTGCCATGGTTTGGAATGGCACGGTGGGGCATGGTTTGGCAAGGCATAGTGTGGCTTGGCATGGCATGGCATTGTGTGGCATGGCCTGGTGTTGCTTGGCATGGCATGGTGGCATCTGCACGCTGGCAGCCGCAGGAGGCAAGTGTAGCTGGTGGAATGCAAGGAAGACTGCACGGGGAGGGAAAACGAGGATAAGAGGGCTGGGAAAAAGGTGGATGGCATGTGGCAAGCTTTCACATACCTTTTCAAACCCACGTTTTGAGGGTGTTAACTTTGATCCATAGTAGAGGTACTGGATCGGTACGGTATGTGCAATGCGCTGTATAGTCTGCACAACGATACCCTTCATAATATTATCGTTGCTACTTCTTACTATCTTATGGGAAGTAAGGAGTTAATCGAGAGGATCATTTGGACCTGGGAAGTTCATGCTGGACGACATCATTCGCATTTATTGATTTACGATGCTGTATATCCCTTCCCTGCATACTATGCAGTGCATAGCATGTATGATATCGACTGTACATAGTTTGCGTCTTTTTTCAATGTGGATGCTGCATATAAAGAGTTGCAGGGGAGTGAAGACCTGTAGTAATTCTTTCACTCACTCAAGTGACTCAGATGGCAGAGGTTAAAACTCAATTAACTTCGCAAGGTTCACCAGATAGCTGATATGCATCTCTTGAAAAGGAGATAGTAGTAAGCTAAAACATATACCAAACGCACTTTCAAGCCTCTGTTTCTGCATGTAATTCACATGCTGGTGGGTCTCACTTCTGTCACTTCACGGTGATAGGTGCATTTCTTTTGGTAAAGGTAAAGGAGGGGGGAATGCCCCCCTTTGGGTTACCCCCGGCTGTCGATCGTAATCCGCCTACCCACTTGTTTACACGCCTCGCTGGGTATCGAGGTAAGACATATCCACTCCCAGATGAGCAGTGCGAAACCCCCTTCTGGGTGGCTGGCGGAACACGCCGGCACTGGGGTTTGAACCCGGAACCTCATCCTTCGGAAGTGCCCATTCAATTGACTGGGACACTTCAGGATAAGCAACGAGCACATAATATTACATAATATTATGTATGGGACACTTCAGGTGCATTTCTTTTGGAAAAAAACGCAACGAGCACATAATATTACAAGGTAAAGCAGTGTCGAGTACTGTGCTGACACCCTGCGCTCACTTGCTCCTTTCCCTACACAGTCGGATCGAACGAGGTTTGTGGCTCGCCTGGCCTTTCGGAGCCGTTTTGGACTTTATGGGATGTCTTTCCTCCAATCATAGAGCCTGATCGCCTTTTCGTGGCGTGGAATTGGCCCCTGATATTGGCACTCGGGGCCACAAGGAGTGACTGGCCAATGGAGGCTTGTCCGCCCCAGATCCAAGTCCCAGTCGCCGTGCGAGTGGAGGCTGCGGTTGGGCAAAGCGTCGCCGAAATGTTGCTGTGCTTGGTGACCTGTTGCTGTGCTGTCAGCTGTTTCTGTTGTTCTCCTCCAGCGAAGAAAAGGTTTGGCTCCTGCCACTGCTCCGCCATTCATGGAGTGCTCGCATTGCCAGAAGCAATGCTGCAACCCAGACCGCTTGCTTTCACCCCAGCGCCATTACGCATGGCAGGACGCTTTTCTAAGACTTATTTATGTCACCTTGAAAAGCGATGATAATTGGAGCGTTGTATTCCCGTGACGACGTTAGGCTAATATAAGTAGGGCCATAATCGCTTACCTCTAATCTAATGGCGTCACTGTCAAGACCAATTCTCTCATTTCAGCCGAGGCTTTCTCTTACCTCCTTTCAAGGTAGAAAATTTTCCAGCTGTTATATAGTGCGTGTTTAATTTGATGTCGCAATTTTGGGCTAAGTTCGAAATACTTCCTGCTTGCAGGCTTCGAGGAAGCTACGTTGCGGGTCAACCCTCCCAGGTCAGCCGTCTCCGCTTGCATTCAGAACATGCTGAAGATCTAGCTCTTTTACGGAGAAGAATGCTGACAGCTTCCTTTTGTTTGCAGCGTTGTATTCGACAACGAATCTGACCCAGTCTCAACCCTTGTTAAAGTGGACAGCGCAAACAAGCAAGGCTGCCTTCTTCAGGTCGTACGGCTTTTGACTGACCTTGATCTTGTGATCTCCAAAGCTTACATCTCTTCTGATGGCGGATGGTTCGTTGATGGTGAGTATCTTGCAGGCCACATTTATAGTGTAGATGCATCTTCACATCACATCAGCTTGATTGTCCTTCGGTTCTCCCTTTGCAGTCTTCCATGTCGTGGACCAACTGGGGCAAAAGGTGACAGACGAGAGCCTTATTCAGTTTATCAAGAAGGTGAGTGAGGCGACAACCAAATGCTTGGTATTGAGCGTTTGCGCACTTGCTGAATGTTATTCTCTTCCTGGGCAGGCCCTGGGTGCTACCAAAGAGGATTTCGCTCCTGATGCAAGGACTTGCCTAGGAAAGCCTGTCGCGGACGCAATAGATTTTGAACACTCCGTCATAGAACTCACAGGATATGACCGCCCTGGGCTTCTCTACGAGGTGTCAGAGGTGTTGACGAAGCTGGGATGCAATGTGGTGGGAGCAGAGGTCTGGACGCACAATAACCGCGTGGCTATCGTCGTTCACATTACTCAAGCAGTCAACGGCGGACCTGTCACCCACCCTGCTGCGCTGGCCGAAATGCACGACAGCTTATGCTCGGTGATGGAGTCAGACAGTATCAGAATTGAGGCTCGGCACAGCTTCTTTGTTGGGGAGGCCCAGACCGACCAGAGGCTGCATCAGCTAATGTTTGCTGACAGGGATTACGAAGCCGCTGGGATTCATGTCTCTCCTGCTGGTGCAGCTGACGAGAAACTTCGTCCCAGTGTTTCTGTAGGAAATCTCCCTGGGTCTCAATATACAATAATCAAGCTGAGCTGCCTGGACCGGCCGAAACTTTTGTTTGACACGGTCTGCACACTTACGGACATGCAGTACATCATTCACCATGCTACGATAGAGTCAGAAGATGATGTGGCCTTTCAGGTGAGTAAACAGTTTGATCTCCATGCACTTTGAGACTGTAGCTTTAAGCGCATGTCACTGTCCGTATGGCATTCTCATTTGGTTGCATTCTTCAACTGCAGGAACTTTACATCAGAACCATGGACGGTTCGATGCTGGACACCGAAGCTGAGAGGGAGCGCGTGGTTAAGTGTCTTGAAGCAGCTATTTTGCGTCGCACCCCCAAGGTAAGTCAACTTCTTCATTAATCTTGCTGCTGCATTTGAGACTTGCAACAAGCTGTACTGCTTTCACTGGCTGTTTGGTCACGTCGCATGACTTCCTGTTGTGGCAGGGGATGTGTCTGGATCTCTGCGCTGGGGACAGGGTTGGTTTGTTGTGCGATGTCACGCGGGTTTTCCACTCGCACAACCTCTCCATCACTGCTGCAAATATATGCACGCGTTGGGGGAAAGCTGTGAACGAGTTCTACGTCACTGATTCGTCCAATCGCCCTGTCGATTTCAGTACCATTGAGGCTATTCGCCAGGAAATCGGCCCTGAGATGCTGACTGTCCGTAATGTGGCGCCTCCCATTATCAGCTGCTCGCCTCCACCTCAGGCGCCTTTCTTTTCTTTCACTGGAATGCTTCGCTCACTTTCTTTGAGCCTGTCCAGGGAATCCCCCATGAAAGGAGCTCCACTTTCAACCAGCCTCACTTGAATGGGCCTTTGTACATATGGTTGTGTAGAAATGGCCAACACTTGTTGGCCTCCTAGGGCTTGTGTATATATTCCTCTAATAAGTTATTGGCATCAGGGCTGCTTTATCCAGCTGCAGTAGCTCTTCCTCCCTACCCTTCATCTCGCCTCTCGCAGCCCACCCCTCTACTCCCAAGCACGCCCACCTCTTGCTGCCCAACTCTCCCAGGTCCCTCTCACCTCACCTCTCACCCACCCTCACTCCTCTCTCCTCTCTCGCAGCCCAACCAACCACCCCCAAACCTTTCCTCTAGCCTCTCGCACACATCCCGACCCCCTTCTTCATCTCTCACCCTCACAGCCCAACTCACCCAATCACTCTCTCGTGGATCCTATTTTTTCCACCCACTTCTAACTTTTCTCAGCTACGTATTCCTCAGCCCTTTCGCCGTCACCATTATAAATAAACCTACAATATACACTCTTCTCTCCCACCATCCCCTCTCCCCCTATCCACGTTCCTTGCACTTCTCACAACAAGAGTTCCTCCCCTCCTGTGTGTTTTTCTTGAAGCACATCTCGTTCAATTTACCTCCCCCCTATGCCCGATTTTGTCAGAGGTCAACTGGTGATCCCCGATTGATCCTAGGGAAGGGTTACATGCTACTTGTCCTGGGGGGTTATGGGCGCACTGACCCGCTACTTAACAAGCCCTTTTATCCTAATGGTCTAGTGGTTGGGATTCTGACAGTTTTCGCTTGGTAAGCCCCAAGTAAATATGAGAGGCAGTCATGTACGGTAAGAGAAATGTCTGAAGTCTAGCTTCTCAGACCAGACTAGCCAATGTCTGGCTGGAGTGCCCTGACTGAGAGAGCATGAATTGCAGTGTGTACACATATAGCCCTTCGGTTTGGTAATGTGCTTGTCTCAGCTAAGATTGTGACTTACATTAATGTGGTTTGCACATTCCTAGATGATCAGGAAGAAGGGAATCGGTGCAATTAATGGTAGAGAATGTGCATGGAAGCAAAGAGACTACTTTGAATGAGCACTTCATTCAGAACCTTAGGGTAGGAATGTGCATGTAAGCTTAGATGCAGCGTTTTCAACTAAAAGTCTTATAAACCTCACTGCACTCCTGTACCGAAAGCACCTACGATGCACATTCTTCACCGAAGAAGGGACAGTGAAAGGTGGAGGTATCCAAGGGTTTGGTTTGGGGTCGCTTTTGCGAACTCGTTGCTTCGTCAGTTTTTGGTGGCTGTGCTGGATCCAGCCCGTAGACCAACGTGAAAGCAGGATTGTGCTTTGGAGTTATGAAGGGGATCCCTCCTTGTCCCATCCTCCATGACTGCTGCAACCTAGGAGGCCTGATCAAGTTAGCTCCAACAGCTACTGTAGACTGCTAGCTGCATAGTTTGCCGACGTTACGTGTTCCATCATTTCCAATCACTGTTAGCCGCTCGTCTAGAGTACAGTGCCGGCGATCGATTTGCAGCTTAGCGTTTTTGGCACCACTATCCCGTAGTTAATGACTTACGAAGTGCTCATTGAAGACTTGGGCACACTTGCGGGCGTCAGATGTGGTTTTGACAAAGTTGGTCGCGTGAGATAAGGGTAACCTTGTGTGTGTTCCTTAAACACGCTAGAGGAATACTTTCGAAACATACAGGCTATCACATGGCGTTGTCTCCATCGCCAATTTCATTCGAGCCGAAGATTTCAATGGCAAGATCCTCAGGTGACTAGTCTTTCCACTGTTGTCAAGAGTATTGTTTCCATCCGTGGCTTAGTGAGAGTGTTTCCTTTTGCAGGCTTTGAAGAGGCTGCATTACGTGTCAATCCACCCAGGTGAAGCTTACCCGCTTATATTTACACAAACACAAAGGCTTTTCCCTTTTCGGCGTTGACTGATGGTTGTGCTGTCACATGCAGGGTTGTTTTTGACAACCATTCTGATCCAGTCTCGACTCTTGTCAAAGTGGATAGCGCAAATAAGCAAGGCTGCCTTCTTCAAGTCGTGCAGCTTCTAACTGACCTTGATCTCGTGATCTCCAAAGCTTACATTTCCTCAGATGGCGGCTGGTTTGTGGATGGTACGTACCTTTAGATCCACATAATTCGCGTCGTTTCTTCATTATAGGAGCTTTGACACCCTTTCCGTTTTGTCTCTTTCAGTGTTTCACGTTGTGGACCAATTGGGTCAAAAAGTAACTGACAAAAGCCTCATTCGCTTTATTGAAAAGGTAAGCTTCATTCTGTGGTTAGCGTTCTCGCGGACGGACCTCTGCTCACATGCTGAAATGCTCTCCGATCGCGTTTGCAGGCGCTGGGTGCTTCGAAAGAACATCCTGTTCCCGATGCAAAAACCTGCCTAGGAAAGCCTGTCGCTGATGCAATAGACTTCGAGCATTCCGTCATAGAGCTCACGGGATATGACCGCCCAGGGATTCTCTACGAGGTGTCGGAGGTGTTGACGAAGCTGGGATGCAACGTGGTGGGAGCAGAAGTTTGGACACACAATAACCGCGTAGCTTTTATCCTACATGTCACTGAGGCTAGTAACGGAGGACCTGTTAGTGACGCTGCTGTCTTGGCTGAAATGCGTGAGAGACTCTGCTCTGTGATGGAGTCAAATAGCATCAGGATTGAATCTCGGAGCAGCTTTTTTGTTGGGGAGGCTCAGACTGATCGGAGGCTCCATCAGCTACTATTCGCGGATAGAGACTATGAAACGATGGGCCTCAATGCTTTCCCTGCAGGTGTGGTTGAGGAAAAAGTGCGGCCCAGCGTTTCTGTGGCGAACTCTCCAGAGTCGCAGTACACAATCATCAAACTGACCTGTGTGGATCGACGGAAGCTTCTGTTTGACACGGTCTGCACACTGACAGACATGCAGTACATTATTCACCATGCTACGATCGAGTCTGAGAATGACATCGCACATCAGGTTAGCACTCCTTACCTCACCATGCCTCGCTACTTCTCTGCATTCTGTTATGTTCCTTATGATATTGCTTCTATGCCTGTTCTCAGGAGTACTACGTCAGAACCATGGATGGGTCCATGCTGGACACTGAGGCTGAGAGGGAGCGAGTTGGCAAATGTCTTGAAGCAGCTATTCTGCGGCGCAGCCCAAGGGTGAGCTACATTTCTGGCGCTCTATTGATGCTCTTATATTGAAACCGAGGCGAGGCTAATGATTTTCTCTACTGTCTGCATGTGGCATGGATACGACGTGTTGTGGGACTCCTTCTGTGGCAGGGTTTGTGCCTTGACCTCTGCACTGGAGATCGCATTGGCTTGCTGTGCGACGTCACACGAGTATTCCAAACTCACAACCTCTCCATCACTGCTGCTAATATATGTACACGCTGGGGAAAAGCAGTGAACGAGTTTTACGTCACTGACTCCGCCAACCGCCCTGTTGATTTCAGCATCATTGAGGCCATTCGTCAGGAAATTGGCCCCACAATACTGACAGTTCGCAATGTGGCCCCTCCACTCTTCAGCTCTTCGCCACCTCAGGAGACTCCATTCTCTTTGACAGGATTATTGAGATCCATTTCTCTAGGGTTTTCCAACATGACAAGGGGAGCTCAGCATTCGTCTAGCTTCACTACAAGGAGGCTCTGATTCCTCCTTGCAAATTGGCTCAAGCTGTAGTTGGGACGGAGGATTTTCCTCTGTACATAAGTGTAAATCATTTGCTTGTAAGGTTCTATATGAACATACCGGTACTACGGTATGCAATTGGTAAAGTGGAGCTGATGCCGGTAACAAACTCCTTTTTTGCAGGATGATACAAAATTGCAGTGAGTTGGCTATCACCACCATTACTGAAGCTTCTACATGGCATTGCGTGTCATGTGATGTCAGACTGAAGCTAACACTAGGTCTTGATATTTACCATGTAAAAAGCATAGCCTGAAGTATTTTCTACACTGAAGCAAACCAATGTCAGCAACACAGATGCCAGCCTCCACACCACACCCCTGTGCGAGTTATCCACAAGTCTGTCGTCATCCCCTCATTCGTAGGCCTTATCAGTTGGCAACCTCTCTCACTCGGTACACAGATCTTCCTTGAGCCTCGTAGTACGTCCTCATGCACAGCTCCGCCACCAGGCCTAGCCCAAACAGCTGACGCAAGGGGGAGCATTGATGGGTATACAGAAGAGACGGGAATGATGTGGGGAGACAACAGTACAGGATATATCGGGAGCAACGGCTAGAGAAGGCACAGCATCACACACGCAAACATGGCAAGCCACGGAAAGCGAAGGCAAGAGAGGGGAAGAGCTGGGAAGGCAAGTCAGTGAACGGAAGGAGGGGCAGCAGTGAGGAGTGAGGCGCTGCGGGATGAGCCTGGCACTTACAACGAATCCAGCAACAACAAACTCAAGAGACGCCACCAGGTGTGCTGCTCCCACCACCATAGCCATGCCCACCCCGTAGGCTGCAGCCGCCTTGAGCGCCGCCGCGCAGAAGAGGACAAAAAAGACGGCGGCAGCGAGGAGCGTGAGGGCGGCGAGGGGACCGAAGAAGTGCATGGGGCGGTCTCGGAAGCGCGTGAGGAAGGCGACAGTGAGCAGATCCACGAGCACACGGGGCGTGCGAGAGAGATTGTACTTTGACACTCCCACTTGCCGTGGATGGTGCTGCACCTGCGATGGGTGTGGATAGGAGAGGGGGGGGCAAGCATATGGGAAACAGGGGACACGAGCACACGCGGTGTGCGTGAGAGGTTGTACTTTGATACCCCCACTTGCCGTGGATGGTGCTGCACCTGCAAGGGGTGTGGGCGGGTTGGGAAGAGGCAGCATACAAGAGATAAAGGTACATGGGCACATGCACAGGGAGTAAGTTACTGTACAGACACAAGTCGAAAGTCTTGCTTTCAACCAGAATCATCTACAAAGACACGTGTGAACCGGACGGCAGGCCTTGCAGGCACTCATTTCAAACACTTTCCTTCCCCTCCTCCTCCTACTACTCCCTCTCCCCCCCCCATCCCCCCTCCCACACCCCAGTACCTCGAGCTCGGAGATGGAGGCGCCTTCCATGGCGGCGAGGGCAGGCAGGAAGCGGTGCAGCTCGCCGTAGAGGCGCATGGAGCGCACCAGCGACCCGCGATACGCCTTCAGACTGCACCCATAGTCGTGCAGCCGCACCTGCCCGAGGGAGTACGCACAGGGGGGGAACAAGCGGGCGGAGCAGGGAAGGGATCAAACCGGAAACAGAATGGTGCAAGTGGAAAGGAGTGGAAGCATGTCCGTGTGGCAGAAACACCCCTTGAGATGAATAAATAAACCCTCCAAAAGCAGAGGGATGAGTTCTTGTGAGGGAGCATACCCCGGTGACGGCCCCAATGAGCAGATTCGCCACAGCAGAGGGCAGGTTGCGCGAGAGGAAGTCGTCTCTCCGCGCGCGCCGCCACCCGCACACCATGTCATACCCGCCGCCGTCACGCTCCCTGCCCGCCACCCACCGCGCCCCCGCCTCCTGCCCCACGGCGCCCTTGCGGCCCAGCAGCAGCAGGCGCAGCAGCCGCGGAATGTCTGACGGGTCGTTCTGCAGATCGCCGTCCAACGTCACTATGAAGTCACCTGCGGGGGGAGAGGGGGAGGGGGGCGAGAAGAGAGGGAGGGGGGACGGGGGAAGCATGAAAAGAGGGCGCGTTGAAAGACTTAGTGTAAGCATGGGAAGGTAGAGGCTGCAAATTAAATTCAGTGGCAATTCAAGCATTTGAAATATGCGTTTAAAATCAGACTGCGTGCAAGGCAAGCAAGCAACCCATGGTTTAGAAGGGGCAGCAGGGGGGCAGTGGTGACCTGCAGCGTAGTCGAAGCCAGCAGCCATGGCGGCCGTCTGGCCAAAGTTGCGGCGCAGCACCACCACCCGCAGCTCTGGCCTCTCTGCTGCCATCGCCTTGAGCAGCAGCGACGTGCCTGTTGGGGGGGAGGAGACGAAAGAGGGGTTGGGGGTGAAGCGGGGACAACGAAGGGAGGCGGGTAAGGGCGGGGTGTTCATCGCAGCACCACCACCCTCAGCTCCCGCCAATCCGCCGCCACTGCCTTCAGCAGCAGTGACGTGCCTGGAGAGGAGGGGGGGATGGGAGGTGGGGGTTGGAGAGAGGGGGGAAGAGAGGAGGGGGTATTGATAGACGGGGAGTACGGAGACAGGGACGGGGGAATGGAGATGAAGTGCGTGAGAGCGCACCTCTTGAAGTAAGGGCGCGACAGTCAGCATCGCTTGAAAGCCCCAGCGACCGCTGAGGCTGCTGCCACGCTGCCATGCTGCCACGCTGCCATGCTGTCATGCTGCCATGCTGTCATGCTACCTTGCTCTCCTGCTGCCATGATTCATGGTACCATGCTCTCATGCTCGCATGTCGCCATGCTGCCACTCACCATCAGACGAGCCGTCATCCACGCAAATCACTTCGTGCGGCCACCCTGCGCGGCTCAGCACGTCGCCGACCCTTTCCACCAGGATCGGGATGCTCCGAGCCTCGTTAAAGAGAGGAATCACCACCGACACTGTTGGCAGGTCCGGCACCGCCGTTATCGGCGAACCTGACGTCCCTGGTGACGTGGCGAGGGCGCTGCGAGCTACGGATCGGCGGACTGGCGATTGGCGATGGACGGTGGAGGGTGCGCATAGCGAAGAGAGCCGCGAAACGTCAGGTCTGGGGAAGGGAGAAGAAAGACGAATATACGTTTTGTGGCGGAAAGAGGAGTAGCGGAAACACGATTTTTGGCTACAAAAAGGAAAAGCCAGCCCTATCGCGTTTTGAGACCCTGTCGTTTCAAAACAGGAGAACGACCAGAAAACCCAATCGAGCCAAATGTTTCGCGCTCGGGCAGAGCAGCAGAGTAGCGCAGCGCAACCAGATAGACGAGAAGCTAAAGCTAGACGAAAGCGAGGCGACGCGAAGGTTATGGCACAACTCAGCGCTGCCAGGGTCCCACCTTCGCCAGGAGTCAGTCGGAAAACGACTGAGGACAGCATCTGGTGCTCTCGTAATGCTAGCAACTGATCGACGCGACGTCCGGACATGGGGCCTTTTTGAAGTGGCTGCGGGATGTTTAGTCTGTAGCTGCTCAACGGGTGAGTGCACGCAATCTAACGCGGCTCGTGCCGCTGACGCCATCACACTCGTCGCAAAGAAGACACAGAGGTTCTACAGTTATTATGCTGTGATTGTTGACGGGATACACAGGTAAAGCTGCATCGTCGACAACGTCTGGTTCAAACGAACTCGCGCCCTTTCGACCACCGAACAGCGGCTTTAGTTACTTCAGGTTCTCGGGACCTCGGGCTCGAATAGGTGACGATCACTCCAAAAAAGTATCATACCTGTGCTAGGTTTTTTATATGTAGGGCACAAACATTCACGAATGAACTCCTTGCGAGTGGGTGGGACGGTTGCTTGGCGAAGGCACAATCGAGTTGAGCGAGATGTGCCGAAGACAACCTGGGATTGGCTGAGAATCAAAGGTGGTGGCGAAAACAACGCAGTAACCTGAGTCTCGTGGACACGAAGGATGCTGCACACACTGGGACCTCCCGCGCTTGTCGCGCACACTTCGCGGCTCGTTGGTTCTTTCCCGCCAATACCTTGCCTTACTTTATGCGTGTAACGGAGGTGAGTGCACTATCGAGGTTGGAATAGAGTGTACAGACAAGCCGTAGCTGAGCTATATAGAAAAGAAATACCTGTATTTGCCAGCAGCGTGATCACTAGCCGCAGTAAAAAAATTACTACGCTGGTGGTGGTGAGTGGTGCTCTTATGCACTTGCGAGCTGTTCCCTGGGTGCAGTTCAAGCTGTTTGGCCAAGGCAAAAGCATTAGGTTCTATGCTCAGTACTGTAAACCCCTCTGTAACTCCCTCCGAAATTGAACGTCACTAAGGGTCATGTATGGAATAATCAGCCAGACTGGAAATTGAATGCTGGAATTAGCCAGACTGGATGTTTGAACGCCTGGGATAAAACAATATAATCAGTAACACTGAGAAATGTTGCGGGGAGAGGTTTTCACTGCAAGAGGAGCCTAAGACCTAGTCTACTTGGCAGTTTGCTTTGCTTTGGCAGGAGAAACGCTGGAGGCAGGGGCCTTTGCGTTCAACTCGGTCCAGGCCTCAATCCATGTAACCATAGCATCCCCTAGCTTGGAGAAGTACGGGTCCAGCGACGAGAGCTTGTCTTTCACTTGCTTAGCAAGTTCCAGATAGCATTGCTCCACCGTTGTTGCCTCCTTGGGCAGCTTTACTTGTTGGAAGAAGGGGATGATGTCTTCCTGCCAGAAGATACCCTTGTACTCCTTCTTCAGGTTGACGAACGGATTGCTAGCTTTGCTATGCCAGATGTATGGCAATCCTGTCTTCACTCCAAGACCCAAATGGTCGCAAATCACCTGAAAGACAAACGCAAAACAGCAAGAATTCAGTAGTCGTGACTAACCAGACCAATAAGGAGCAAGGAGGCCAACCCAATGTAGTGGAACACTGCAATGCCGCAATCGACGCTCCTGCCAACGATTTGCGGGCATCGCAACATGTGGAAGCACACGTCGTGCCACGTTAAAATCCAACGAAAGAACTAAAGCAAAAGTGAATCTCGTTCGCGGAAAGGCGCACACTGCATTATAGGGTGGTTTCGTCCTTTCAGTTACGGTTAGCCCCTTAGCAAACAGTTCGTTTGAGTACCGACAATGCGGGTGTTATCCGTGTGTCGCTCTAACGACTGGAACGACACACGGGCTCAGAATTCATCCCCTTCAGGTTCCAACATAATCCTCTTGGGCTCGAAAAACAGGCTACATACCTTAATGCACCAGCCCGCCCACATGTCATCGTAACGCCCAATCGGCTGCCCATCGCCCATGAGCCCGAAGTACATGGCTGGCCCAATGAGCTCCCGGTCGAACGCCAGATTCATCCCGCACATAGGGAAGAGGGTTCCCTTAGGGATAGTCATCACCGCATCGACGTATCTGCAAGACGGAAGCGAGGACAAGTTAGCTACATCCTTCACAGGGTTAGATGCTATCAACCGAGGCACGTCTGCAATGGATACCTTGAGTTTCTCTCGCTTGGCTTGACGAGCTGCGTAGGTGCGTCGTAGTCAGGGATGTTCAGCCACAACCCGTGTGACACGGCCGTCGACACTCCTTCACGAAGGCTGAATGGGTAGCCTCGGACGAAGTCAGCCCCCTCTCTGTACGGATCGTACAGCGTGTTGAAGAAGTAAGGAGTGGACGGGCTCAGCAGGTTCTTAATGTGCTGTTGAAGCGCGTTGATCTCCTTTCCTGACGGATCTTTAGCAACCTGTAGATAACAGGACATGTACGGGAAAACGCATGTCGTGTATTGAAATTAGTCACCATTCACGGGGGACTATTAACAGGAAGTACTGGAATCTAACAATTAACTGTCAAGGAATCTGTGACAACGTAACTCGCAACGAAAGAACTTACAAAGCAGTCGTCGTCGATTGTGTAGATGTACTTCTTCTTCGACACCATGTAGCCGAAGCACCTACACGCACTGTCCTTGAACGAGATGCACGACGCTCTCGGGCCAAGGATCCGGTTGATGTCATTTCTGTTGTACAGCTCGTAGTCAAAACCCGAAGGGACCTTGATGACCTTGGTTGGATCTCCATCCTGGACTATGATGAGATGGTATGGCTCGAAGAACGGCCGCCACTGCTCGAGGAAATCGAGGTTGCGAATGGTAGGGATGACAATATCTAGCTGATCTTTCAGGGGGATATCGTCAGCCATGGCGTCTGAAATTTGCCAGACGAATATATCGTTGAAGAAAATAGGAGCACTCCTACACTGAGGAAGAATGGAATGTTGGATGCTAGGAACTAAAACTCCGAGAATTCAGATTCCAGATGCGTTTGAGATAGTTTGAATGGTGGCTGAGGGAGATATACCAGCCCAGAATTGAGCGGGGCCACGCAAGCACAGCAAGGAAACAGTTTGGAGTCTGGACGCAGGTGATTGGGTTTGGTGGTGCAACGCGGCAGGCACCTAGGTTCGGTGCGAGCCTCGTGTCAGTCGAACGAACGAGACGGAAGCAGCCTCTCCGCCTGCGGAACCCGACAAAAGGCGGGATTGGCGAAGCGCACAGGGTCGCCTAGCGTAGGTCGCACCGTGTTCCGAAGGGAGGCACAGATACCACAGAACAGAAGACTGCACCGTTGAATGGCGCGCAACCCCACTATACGCTGGCCTCGCTCAGAACGAATATTCTGTTCGATACAGACACAAGGCAACTTTCAAACAAATTTGCCTATGTTCCTCCAAAAATTGGAACCACAAAATGGTTTCATTAAAACCTCCATCCGGTCCAAAACAATTATTAACATTCTTTGAAGCCCATACGAAAGGAATATATTAGAACAAGTCATCATACGCAATCATTGAGCGCCACCCAGCACCATTGGAGCTACCACCAGCTGCAGCACCAACGCCAGCATCAGCATTACGCCATGCATTTCCTCCTGCCCCCAAATGAGCTTCCTGCCTGAAATGCTGATTGCCATGTGGCTCAACCTGATGGTGAAAGCCCATGTGACCCATAGGAGCAGGGCCCGCAAGCATGGGGACAGGGGCGGCACCTGACAGCACTGCCATGGCTGTAGCGCTGGCTGCTGCTGTAGCTGCCAGCATCTTCATGCGGCCATTCTGCAGCTTTGAGGAACCTTCCGCAAAGGAAAATCCCCCCACACCCTTCTTCCATTCTGGCAGAGACCCGTGTGCCCATGAAACCCGCACCTGGTGAAAAAGAAGGGGGAGTATATGAGGCCCCGCTGAGTGCTGCTGCTAGCAGCAATAGAATGGCAGCCCTCAGACGGCACACATGGCAGTCATTTTTTGGAATCAATTTCGAGAATTCTCAAAAGTGACTTCAAGTCAGCCCTCAGATGCTACACACGGTAACAGGGCAACCGAGGCCAGAAACCTTTCACAACTAAACCAACCTATCCATTCCAAAAGCACGTCCAGATCCCAACAAAGCCTCATCTCACCCGCTGGTCGCGGACAATGATAGTCGAGCGGCCGTCCTCCCCTGCAGCAATAGCCGCCTCCGCCTCGGCGTGCTGCTTGAACCCCACGAACCCGTAGCTCTGCAGCTCCACCATGCGGGCGTGCACCACCGCTCCGAACCGTGAAAACGCCTCCGTGAGCTCGGCGGCGGAGGTGGCGGGGTCCAGGTCGCCCACGAACACACGGTGCTGCTGCCCTGCTGCGCTGCTGCTCTCCTGCCCTGCGCCCCGGCCTCGGTTGCGACTGCCCTGCCTCTGCTGCCCGGCCTGCTCTTTGCGGTGGTCTCTGTAAATGTGGCTGCGGCTGTGGTGGCGGTGGCTATGGCTATGGCGATCATACTCACGGTGATGGTCGCTGCCTCTCTCCCTGTCACATTCTACTCCCTCGCCTCTGCTCCCATCCCTCCCCTTGTGCCGCTTCTCGTCCCCCCTCTCATACTCACACCCCTCCCTCGCTCCCCTCTCCTCGCTCCCATGCCTCTTCCTCTTCCCCCCTTCCTCCTCCTCGTCCCCCGCCCGTCCCCTGCCCCGCACCTCATCGTTCTCGCGATCGCCCTCCGCACGACCCCTCTCCGCGCTCTCCCCGCCCCGCGAGTCCCCGTGCACAGGCGCTGCTCTGCGGAGGGGCGCGGGGCGCTTGAAGCTCGCGGCTCTGCCCACCTGCGGCGCAGACGGCGCAGACGGCGTTGATGGTGTGGATGGCGATGCGAGTTCGGTGGCGGCGACTCCAGGTGTCGCTGGGGAGGACGGCGACGAGGCAGGCGACGAGGAAGCTTCCTTGGGGCTCGAACGTGCTTCCTGCTGGGAGGGAAGCGGGGTGAGGGTGAAGGGGAAGGGGTGTGGGGGTTGGGGGAGGTGTTAAACAATGCGGGCGGCTTGTCGAACCCTTGCTTACCTTGCTCTGCAAAAACATTACCATTTACTTCTCCCTGCGACAGCATTCTCGTCCATCACTCGCTGCGACAATATCGCTCACCTTGCTCTGCGACGTTATCGCTCACCTTGCTGTGCAGCATTATCGCTCACCTTGCTCTGCGACATTATCGCTCACCTTGCTCTGCGACAGCACCCTCCTCGCCTTCTCCAACGCCTGCTGCAACCGACCGCGCTCGTCCAAACCCTCCCTCCGCGACGCGCGCTCCACCGTCCGATCATCGTCGACCAGCTCCATCTCAACCTCCCTCGGCTTGCTCGCCTCTGCCCGCCCGCGCCCGCCCTCCCTCCCCTCCCTCGACTCCCGCTTCCCCGCACCAGCCAAGTCCTTCAAGCGCGCGGGAGACGTATTCGACCGCCTTCCGCCCTCCGCGCCCAAACCAACTACCTCATCCTCCCGCTTCTCCCGCCTCTCCCGTTCCTCCCGCTCCTCCTGCTTCTTCCGCTCCTCCCCCCTCTCCTTTCTCTCATCTGATCTCCCTCTCGCTTCCCCGCCCGTCCGCCGATCGTCTATCGGCGGCGTATGCATCTCCCACCCGCCCTCCGCTTCCTTCCTTCCCTCCTTCCGCGAACCTTCCTTTCTAGCGCGTCTATGCTCCTTCGTATTGCGATGAATATCGGTAACATCCGCGTCGTCGAATTTCACACGCTCATCACGATCAGTGCGCTCATCGGATTTGATACGCTCCTCGCGGCTGCTCCCGCTGTCAGCACTACTCCCCCCGCACCCCTCGCTCTCCCCGCGCGGCGCATTTGGAGCGGCGCGCGAGACGTCGACGACCACGCCGCCCACCTTGAGGCGCAGCTTGAGCGGACGGCGAGGCGCAACGGCCGTCGCAGCCTCGCCGGCCTCCAAATCTGGATCGGACCCCATGGGGAGCGATGCGCGCTCACGCGCCGAGTTAGCGGTATAAACGGTAGAAATTGGAGATGGAAGCGCAGCTTCCAGTGACGCGACTGTCGCTTGCGGCGCCAATGGTGCCTTTCTCCACCGGGCCCCAGAGGTTAAAAACCGGCGCACACACGGACACCACGAGGACGGAAGCAGTAACAGCGCTTACAGCACAGAAGAGCGCCAACAAATCTCCAGGCAGCTAGGCTTACAAAAAGGTTGGCGTAACTGAACCCTAAACCCGAAACCCTAGACAGCAAAAAAATTGCCCCAACCTCGTGTGGTAGGTTTGGGGAGAATTTGGGGAGAGGCACGGGGCTGTTTTGGAAGGGCTGTTTTGCAAACCCTGAACCTCCATTATCACGCGTGTCGGCAGGTTCATGAAACGCGATTTCCAACCAATCGGAAACGTCGAAAAACATGGCCACCAATTGGAACCGCTAAAAAATGGTGCGCTACAAGGAATTATAAAGTTGGAGCATTTAGGCGTCCCTTGAGTTGTCTGAGGCTACAATAAGCTCATGTGTGATTCCTGGCTCGTACATGGAATGACCTGCATTGGGGACTGATGTTGGGAACAGTGAAGGGAATAAAAATTAAAAGTAATAAATAAAAACATAACATGACAGCAGAACGTTGAGGTGAACTGAAAATGAAAGCGAGGAAACATCCAACAATACACGTACCAACTCGAAGTTGGGCTTCTGGCCATGCATGATGAAGGTCAATGGCGTTCTGCACAAAACACGACAAAAACCAGGAGAGAGTAAGATAAGAAATCTTGACACAGATCATCCTCAAGTGAGTACGAAGCAAATGCGACAGTTGCCGCGAGGAGGCTTACAACGAGGGGGCAGACAAAGTCATATCGGCCGTGCACAATGACGGTGGGGATGTGCCGGATGGCATCGATGTTGCGTAGCAGCTGGTTCTCGGTCAGGAAGCCATCATGATGCTGCTCTCAGAGCAAACACATGGGATAGACACACAGCCGGGGTTGGTGTTTTTCATTAGCGAGGTCTCGCTGGGACAGATATGCAATCGGTAATGCCATGAACAAAGTATGCTGTTGTGAATGCATCCATGTAGATAGTGTGTTACAGGGAGGGAATGGAGGCGTGGGTCGTGCCGGGTGCAGCAACTCACGAAGTAGTGGCACTCAATGCGTGCCTGTGCCACTGATCCCAATATGTGCGGCCCTCCCATCAAGTCCTTCCCTGCTGCATCGCCCATACCCTCCCTCCTCTCCTTCCCATCCTCTGGTTCCCCCTCTCTCTTCTCTGCTGCTGCTACTGTCTGTGCAGGTGCGTGTGCTGGTGGTGCTGGTGCTGGTTCTGCGCCTGCTGCTTCTGGTGCTGATGCTGGTGGGGCTGGTGCTGCCGCTGCCGCTGATGGTGCTTGTGTAGTTTCCAGAGGAGGATCAGAACTAGAGGGGGAGGCTGGGGAGGAGGAGGAGGAGGATGAGGAGGATGAGGAAGATGTGGGGGTGGAGGGGGAGGAAGAGGAGGACGGGGGCGCTGACAAGGGCGGAGAAGAAGGGGAGGGCGGAGGGGGAGGGGAGAGGGGCGAGGGGGGGAAGGAGTAGGCGGAGCCATCCCAGGCGAGCAGGGCAGCAGGGGCGGAGGGGCTGGGGAAGTGGCTCAGCGACATCTCCCACCGCATCCATGCCCGGGCCTGGTGGGGTGGAGGAGGGGGGTGGGGAGTTGGCAGGGTGGTGCAGACGTGGGATGGTGATGGCAGCAAACTCCCGAGTCGACTCAAAGCGCAGCAGGGGCGGAGGGGCTGGGGAAGTGGCTGAGAGACATCTTCCATGCCCTCGCATCCATGCCCTCGCATGGGGGGTGAGGTGGCAGGGAGGCGGGGATACAGAATGATGATGGCATGTATGTGAAGATGGTGGGACAACGGTACGGGCCACACAGCCCATGCTCCACCTGCTTTCATTGCCGCGCCCCGCACTGCCACGAGCGGGAGGCAGCATAACGAGGTGGCGAGCAGGGCCAGGCCAGGAATGGACAAAGCGACATGATGTGAGGTGTGTTAGCACTGCCATGACTCACAGCACTGTCTCTGGCGGCTGCATCGGTGCTCATAAGCCTCTCGTAGAATGCAGCCACCACACTCCGATCCCCGGTTCCATTCCCATCTCCACTCCCACCGCCATCATCCGCGTCGCCTTCCGTGTGTGTGGGAGCACGGGCAGGCAGCGCGGCCATGAGGTCCCGCCACGCGAATGGGAAGAGTGCCTCTGCCCCGCCCTGCCAGGGGTGGGATGAGGGTGAGGGGGGAAGGATGTAAGTGGTGGGGCGAAACCACACATGCGCGTGTGTGGGAGCAGGCGAGGGTAGAGCGGCCATGAGGTCCCGCCACGCGAATGGGAAGAGTGCCTCTGCCCCGCCCTGCCAGGGCGAAAGGTTGGAAAAGCATGAGCGGTGGGGGAAGAGTGAAGTGACCAGTGCGGCAAACATCGACATATCTCCTCCCAACACCAGAGAATGCTGGAATGAATACTGATCTCCGTGCTCTTCTAGAAGGAGCGAATGCATTGGAGAACCAAGTAAGGCACACGGTGATAGCAGCCCATACCGGGCGGTAGAACCAGTCAATCTCTCGGCGCCGCAGCAGACACACCCCTCGCAGCACCATGCCCGCCACTCTCCCCGGGTGCGCCTGTGCGTATGCCAGCGCTAGAGTGGTGCCCCAGCTGCCGCCCATCACCACCGCCCACCTAGTGTGGCCGCACAAGGGGGGCCCACGGTGAAGGGAGCGAGAGTTAGAGGGTGAGAGTGAGGGAGTGAGAGAGAGGGAGTGAGAATGAGGGAGTGAGAGTGAGGGGGCGAGAGTTAAGGAGTGAGGCACAGCCCCAGCTGCCACACAAAGCACAAGCGGCAGGCGCCAGGCAGTTCTCACCTGTCCACCTTGAGGTGCTCTCTGACTGCCTCGATGTCCCCCACGAGCAGGTCCATGCGGTTCTCCACCACGCACCCCGCAGGGGTGGACCTAATGAGTCAACTCGAGCAGCCACCCTCACCTGTCCACGTTGAGGTGCTCTCTTATCGCCTCTATGTCCCCCACCAGCAGGTCTGTGCGGTTCTCCACCGCGCACCCCGCAGGGGTGGACCTGCCTGCCCCCCGCTGGTCGCACAGCACGATGCGGTACGCTGCCGGGTCGAAGAAGCGCGCATGGTTGGGCCAACACCCCGCGCCTGGGCCCCCGTGCAAGACTGGTGTGGAGAGGAGGAGGGGGAGAGCCAGGAGAGGAGGAAAGGGAGGGGTTGCGTGTGGTGCACAGTAGGTGCGGAAGGACTGGAGCGGGAGAGAGGCGGGAAGGGGGGAGCGGAGGAGGGGCGTGCGTGATTGAGAGAAGGGAGGGGAAGATGGGAGAGGGAGGAGGGGAGAAATAATAAGGGGGAAGGGGGGAACAGGGGAAGAGAGTCCAGACGTGGGATAGTTCAGAGAAGTCGAGGGTGCGAGAGGGCACTGACAGAGGGCGGGTTTGCCGGCTGGGTTGCCATAGACGCGGTAGTAGAGCGAGTGGATGGCGGAGACCTTGATGTGCCCCTCCGCGTGGTGCGCGCCCGCGGGGTACATCCCGCGCAGGGGCGGAGGGGGACCCGGCGCTGCGGTGGGGGGAGGCGGAGGGGCGGTTTGGGCGGGGGGTGGAGCGGAGGGAGGGGAGGGGGCGGGAGAGGGAGAAGGAGAGGTGGTGGGGGGGGAGGAGGAGGAGGAGGAGGAGGAGGAGGAGGAGGAGGAGGAGGAGGAGGAGGAGGAGGAGGAGGAGGAGGAGGAGGAGGAGGAGGAGGAGGAGGCAGGGGTTGGTGGTTGCTTCCAGGCTACAATGGCGGAACGTCCTCGTCGCCTGCCATGCCACGTCGCGTGCCTCGTCGCATGCCTAGTCGCATGCGTCGCGAACGGCAGTCCATCCACGATCTCCCCCCAATTCCTGACACCCCGACGCGCATCACCCCCGTACGCAGCCATGCCTCTCGCGACGCTGCTTGTCGCGCAGGGGCCATGGGAGGGGACCGCGGGGGACGGAGCCAAGGAAACGGTAGTTCTGTGGAAAGGCGGATCCGGTGTGCGTCCGCACGCAGCAGCCGCGCGTGTCGGACACGCGTGCGCTGCCCGCGTGAGCGCCATGGGACCGCAGCCGGTCGCGATCAGGCTTCAAATAACGTCAGGGGAGCAATGGCTCGTGATTAGCGATCGCGAGGTGCAGCTGACTGATTCGAACGGCAGCTGATCATGCGGATCGTGTGTGAGAACGACGTGGGAGTAGTCATCATGAATCATAGAGAAATGAAATGGCAGCAGTTTGCTGGTCAATCGTCAGAAGTGAAACCTCGAGGTTGCCTTTTTGGCGAGACCCGATATGGACTGTGGGATTGTTGTATTGTACAGTTTTCGTACTTTGGTTACACGTTTACAGCGAGAATTTGGCTCTGCGGCCAGTTTTGGTAACTGCAGTTTCCCACTTCGTGAGTATTTCGTCGGGCTTTCAACTCCCATCATCAGTCGTTTCCTTGCTTCTGTTTGCTTCCGGGAGCACATCATGTATCTGCTAATCTCGCTCGAAACCGCTGACAAACTCTTTACACCGAACGATACACTGGTATGCCGATCGAAACCGAAAGCCCCCTGTCCGGCACCCTTCAATCTTGACTGTTGCACACCACCAGACCGTGGGTTTCAGCGAGTGCCTCTCTATTCAGTCACTTCCAGAGCCATTCCTCCCACGTGGGCAATTCTCTCCCCCTGAATCTCCCCACGTGCTGCCAAATCCACCCATGTGACTCCGTCACTCCCACTTTTCTGCCTCACTCCGCGCTTCATTGATGGTCGTTAGTCTGATCTTGCTTTGCGAGATCTTTCATTACTAGTGACTGAATAACCGCCACGTGGATGGATCTGCGGCAGAAGATCCTATCGACGGTGCACGCCACGGTGCACGAGCACCGCCATCGCCCCCACAACAATGGCGACCCTCCGGGAACGAGCTTTTCAGAAGTAGAAGGTGCGCGGGAGTGTCAGAAATCAACACGTGAGCGCCATTGTTGGTCGTTGTAGACATTGTTGGGATAGTGTCGCACCGCGGAAATGCGAACGAGCCTCGTGTCACGGCTGGTATGTGTCTAGCACACGTGTGTGAATTCACGCCCACCGCGGCGCGCGCGGTTACGCTTCCCTCCTAATAAGAGCGCACTTTGCCGTTATTCTGTGGCGCGTACGTGTGTTTGTATCGGCGGCTCATCAGACATTCAGGTGACGGCAACGGCGCCGACAGACACTGATAATGATGGGGGGAAGGCCGACGGTCTTCTGCAAACCGCGCAGCAGGGCTTGCAGCAGGGCGGTCAGAGGGGCAAATGGACGGAGCAAGAAGTCTGTGAGCCTCCTTCCCCCCCCCCTCCCCGCTCTTGGATATGCGCTCACGGTTTATCAAAGGAACGAGAATTCCCAGCTTGTACCTCCCAATCGCTTATCCTCTCGTTTCCCTTCCCCCTTCCTCCCTTGCTCCGCTCGTCCCCCACCTCTCTACGTCACAGCCCCAGCACCCAATCCTATCGCTTCCCTTCATGGCCTCTATTCTTTCTCCCCCCCCCTTTCCCCAGTGAGCGTGCTTCGCGAGGCCTCCGCGGGCAGCGCCCCCGCGCCAGCCGCCGCGCCGCACAGTGCCAGCTTCGGCGCAGCAGCAGCGGCCTTCCGCGAGGCGGGCGCAGGGGCGGCAGGGGCGGGCGGCAGCGGCAACCCGGGCGGGGCGGCAGCGGGTAGCGATGACGGTCCAACCCGCGTGCAGCGGTTTCTAATGCGGCTGGCGGTGGCGCTGCACGCGTACGGCAGTTCTGCCGCCCGCACGGAGTTCCTGATCGAGCGTGCCGGGCGGCGGCTGGGCGTGGACGTGAGCGTGGCGGTGCTGCCAGATTTGATTCTGCTCGCCTTCAACCGCGTGGTCGGGGACGATACTGCTGGGTGAGATGCGGTGCAATGTGGTGGGCGTGTGGTGGGTGGGATCTGTGTGCATGCTGGGCGTGGACGTGAGTGTGGCGGTGCTGCCTGACCTCATCCTGCTGGCAGTCAATTCAACCGCGTGGTTGGGGATGATACTGCTGGGTGAGATGCGGTGACCGTGTGGTGGGGTGTGGTGTGGTGCGCATGGTAGGCATAAAGGGCGTGGTGGGAGTGTGCGGTGTGGCATTTGTGTGCATGCAGCAAGTGCTACCTCTCCACGTGTTGCTCCCTCACACCTGCCTGCTTGCTCAGATTCTCCCACTCCTCCACGCCCACCCCTTGCACTCCTTGCATGGCGAGCTGCTTCCATGTACACGCGTGTCACTCTCCCTCCTCACCCACCCCTCGAATCTGATCGCACCCCTCAGCACCCCTCTTCACCCCTCCACACTCCCCAGGCAGCGCACGCACATGCTATCCGTCTCCCCAAACATGGACCTTGACAAGCTAGGCCGGGTGGACGAGCTAGCGCGCAGTGTGGGGTTGAGGGAGGCGCCCAACCTCATGGCCGCGTACTGGCAGCTCCCGGCTATAGCCAACGCTCCTCTCTGCACCCCTCTGCACCTCTATCAACCCTCCCCAGGCAGCGCACGCACATGCTATCCGTCTCTCCCGATATGGACCTTGATAAGCTGGGGCGAGTAGATGAATTGGCGCGCAGTGTGGGATTGAGGGAGGCGCACAACCTCATGGCGGCGTACTGGCAGCTGAGGGCCATCGCCAACGCGCCACCCACCTTCTCCCCGCCCATGCACCTGCTCGCCATGGCGCTCATGTCTGCCAGTGCTGCCGTGCTCTTCTTTGGCGGTAGGCCTCGCGTATTACGCCCATGCACCCCTCTGCACCCCTCTGCACCCCATGCGCCCATGCACCTGCTCGCCATGGCGCTCATGTCCGCCAGCGCTGCCGTGCTCTTCTTTGGCGGTGCGTGTCCCATACTCCGCTCAAGCTCCTCCCGGTGCACCTCCCATGCATTCCGTGTGTGTCCCTTTTTCTGCCATGTAACTCCTTGCTCCCCATGCGCCCATGCACCTCGTCGCCATGGCGCTCATGTCCGCCAGTGCTGCCAACTCCCGCCCCCCTCCGCGTCCCACCAGGCAACATGTGGGATGGGCTGGTGGCGGGCATTCTGGGCTTCCTCGGAGGAGCCATGGAGTTCTGGGCCATCTCCAACTCGCAGGTGCTCACTATGGGGCTACAGCCACCCCGTTTGCTACTACTGCACTGCAGTTGGATTTTTTTTCTTGCATCCCATGCTCACCCTCTTGTCGTCTCGCGTCGACAACCGTGTTTCTGCTTTCCCATGTCGGCCTGTCCCCTCCTCTCCCCCCCTCTCCCTCCACCCACCAGGCGGTAACATCCATTCTCGAGTTCCTGGTGTCGGTGCTAGCAGCCTTCACGGCGCATCTGCTCGCCGCCACGCTGCTCAGCGGCCGCATCTGCATCTTCGCCTCTCTCTTCGGCGCCCTCGTCTGGTTCCTCCCAGGTCAGCCGCTCTGCTTGCCACCACTCTGTCTGTTGCCGTAGTATATAGGCTGGCAGGGGGAGCGCATGCAACTTGCTGAATACCTTATAATAGCCTCGTTCACACTCCGCAGTGCTCCTCTCCATCCGCATCTTTCCCCACGCCCTCCTTGCCCCTCTACCCGCCCACCCTGTTGCCCCTGCTGTTCCTGCTGCTCCTGCTGCCCTGTTTCACCTTCACTCTTATTCCCCCCTGTCTCTCCCATCCCAGGTGTAACACTCACCTTTGGCGTGAACGAGCTGGTAGCGCGCACACAAGTGACGGGCACAGCAAGAGTGGCAGCGGCCATATTCACATCCCTGCAGATCGGATTCGGCATCTCTGTGGGCATGGGGCTCTGCTTCTGGGCCGCCTCGCCCACTGCCCTGTCCGACTGCCCGCCCTCCAACCTGCCCCTCTGGACCAACATTTTCTGGTGCGTGCTTGTGCTGCGCTCTTCCATGTACCTGTTTCTTGTCCCCCTCCCCGCCTGCTCGTCCGTTCAACTCAATGTATCTCCGTGGGCGTGGGGCTCTGCTTCTGGGCCGCATCCTGCACTGCTCTCACTCACTGCCCGCCCTCGCACCTGCCCCTCTGGACCAACCTCATCTGGTGCGTGCCTTGCTGCTCTGCTCTGCTCTGCTCTGCTCTGCTCTGCTCTGCTCTGCTCTGCTCTGCTCTGCTCTGCTCTGCTCTGCTCTGCTCTGCTCTGCTCTGCTCTGCTCTGCTCTGCTCTGCTCTGCTCTGCTCTGCTCTGCTCTGCTCTGCTCTGCTCTGCTCTGCTCTGCTCTGCTCTGCTCTGCTCTGCTCTGCTCTGCTCTGCTCTGCTCTGCTCTGCTCTGCTCTGCTCTGCTCTGCTCTGCTCTGCTCTGCTCTGCTCTGCTCTGCTCTGCTCTGCTCTGCTCTGCTCTGCTCTGCTCTGCTCTGCTCTGCTCTGCTCTGCTCTGCTCTGCTCTGCTCTGCTCTGCTCTGCTCTGCTCTGCTCTGCTCTGCTCTGCTCTGCTCTGCTCTGCTCTGCTCTGCTCTGCTCTGCTCTGCTCTGCTCTGCTCTGCTCTGCTCTGCTCTGCTCTGCTCTGCTCTGCTCTGCTCTGCTCTGCTCTGCTCTGCTCTGCTCTGCTCTGCTCTGCTCTGCTCTGCTCTGCTCTGCTCTGCTCTGCTCTGCTCTGCTCTGCTCTGCTCTGCTCTGCTCTGCTCTGCTCTGCTCTGCTCTGCTCTGCTCTGCTCTGCTCTGCTCTGCTCTGCTCTGCTCTGCTCTGCTCTGCTCTGCTCTGCTCTGCTCTGCTCTGCTCTGCTCTGCTCTGCTCTGCTCTGCTCTGCTCTGCTCTGCTCTGCTCTGCTCTGCTCTGCTCTGCTCTGCTCTGCTCTGCTCTGCTCTGCTCTGCTCTGCTCTGCTCTGCTCTGCTCTGCTCTGCTCTGCTCTGCTCTGCTCTGCTCTGCTCTGCTCTGCTCTGCTCTGCTCTGCTCTGCTCTGCTCTGCTCTGCTCTGCTGCTCTGCTCTGCTCTGCTCTGCTCTGCTCTGCTCTGCTCTGCTCTGCTCTGCTCTGCTCTGCTCTGCTCTGCTCTGCTCTGCTCTGCTCTGCTCTGCTCTGCTCTGCTCTGCTCTGCTCTGCTCTGCTCTGCTCTGCTCTGCTCTGCTCTGCTCTGCTCTGCTCTGCTCTGCTCTGCTCTGCTCTGCTCTGCTCTGCTCTGCTCTGCTCTGCTCTGCTCTGCTCTGCTCTGCTCTGCTCTGCTCTGCTCTGCTCTGCTCTGCTCTCTTCTGCTCTGCTCTGCTCTGCTCTGCTCTGCTCTGCTCTGCTCTGCTCTGCTCTGCTCTGCTCTGCTCTGCTCTGCTCTGCTCTGCTCTGCTCTGCTCTGCTCTGCTCTGCTCTGCTCTGCTCTGCTCTGCTCTGCTCTGCTCTGCTCTGCTCTGCTCTGCTCTGCTCTGCTCTGCTCTGCTCTGCTCTGCTCTTCTGCCATGTCGAGAATCCGAGTGCTTCATTCGCTTGCGCCCCTTGTCCCCTTGCTTTCAGCACTCTCATCGAGGCTCTGGGTGTGCCACAGGCGGGAAGCAAGGCAGTGCACAACCCTCCCTCCCTCTGCTGCATGTCGTATGTGCAGTTGCTGGTGACCCCTAAGCCAAGCCCCTTTCCACCCCATCTCCTCTCCCCTCCTCCCACCCCAGGTTCGCCATGTACATGGTGGCGAACAACATAAGGTGCAATGCATGCAGCCCCTGCCTCTTTGCTCCATGCATCATGCGCGCTGCTTTTCCCACGCCCCACCACCCCCCCAACCCCCCACCCGTCCCCACCCCAGGTTCGCCATGTACGTGGTGGCGAGCAACATTCGCTGCAACGCCCGATTGGACCAGTGGGACGGGATGACGCTGGTGGCACTCGTGGGCTACGTGGTATCAGAGCTGGCCTACCGCACCATCGGCAACGACACTGCTTCCGTTGTTGCTGCATTTGCCGTCAGCACGTCAGGTGGGTTTTGAGTCGGCACAAATGTCACATCGGCTCAAGAGTCACCTCGCTCGTGGGCTACGTGGTATCAGAGCTCGCCTACCACACCATTGGCAACGACACCGCCTCCGTCGTTGCGGCATTCGCTGTCAGCACGTCAGGTGGGTTGGATTTATGCCTTTGCGCCCTTGCTTGCGCCACATCACATGAAAACAGAACATGTTTCTGCGACTCCTTGCCTTCCCCCTGCCTAGTACCTACCTCTCTCTGCCCATCCCCCACCTTGCCAACTCCACTCTGACACCTTCTCTTTGCTCTCTCCCCCCCCCCCCTCCCCCCTCCCCCACCAGGCACACTCTTGTCGCACTTCGCCCAGGAGTTTCCTTTAGCGATGAAGATCTCGGGGATTCAGCTGCTTGTGCCGGGTGGCATAGGCGTGCGCGGCGTGGCGGCCATCCTCAACCAGGATGTGATGTCGGGCATTGGGTTTGTCTTTGAGATGCTCACTGTCGGCCTCGCCATCACCATCGGACTCATTCTCGCGAATCTCGTGCTGCCGGAGTCCATGTTTGCGCATGGTAGCCGCCCGCATCATAATAAAAGGAGGCTTGCAGCGGATTTGCAGGCAGATTCGATGGCACATGGTGGGATTGGAGGTCGGTTGGATGGGGCGAGGGGGAGGGATGAGGCGGTAGGGAGAGGGTTTGGTGCGGACTCTGATGGGGGTGGTGGTGGTGGTAGTGGGGTTAGGGGAGTGTTGGCTGGAGTGCTAGGTTTGGCTGGGTTGAGGAACCGGGGGAATGGGGAGGACAGATTAGCTTCTGCGTTTCTGCCCCAGGTGAAAGAAGAGGAGGATTCGGTAGCATTTTGATAATACAGGAATAGTTCAACTTTGTATAGGGCAGTAGAGGCTGCAAGAAGGCTTATTTGTGGTTCCACATTCAGTTGCTCTAATAGTTTTTGCAAATTTGTCTGTTCCCTAAATGTTATCTTCTGGTGATGGCCTTGTTGGTAACCCTTGGTTTCGCGAGAAAAATCGCGACTCGTCGCAGCGTCCTTGTCTCAGGTGACCCCAACAGCCGCACGTGTGTTTGGGTTCGCACTTGTTGACTTGATGGAATGAACTTCGTGCGTTGTGCTCCTTTCGTGGCAACTTGGCAAGGCGCGTATTGGCGCTTGCCACGTGATCTGAAGAGGGCCGATTTTGAGCCCTCGATGCTGAAGCAGTCTGTCTTCCACCCCACGATGTTGATGAAGTATTGCTCGGCTTTCGCGACGTGAGATGGCAATTTCTTGTTCGTGTGCGACTCGGATGTCAATGTTGCACAAAGCTCCACTCCAGGGACATTGCCATCCAATCCTATGTCGTTGTCGGGGGCACAGTGCCCATCACTCCCACCCACAGCAGTCCCATTCCATCACCAGGCTCTCCAAGAGGCACTACATCCTAGTGTCAGTGATCGAGGACTTGCTCGTTTGACCAGTTGTAATTACTCAGCTGAATGCCTTCTCAAGAAACGGCGAGAATCTAGAAGACCTAGAGGAAATATTCCACCTTAGATAATTATAACACATGACTTCGCACGGAGCGCGCAGCAGTGCACGGATGCGCTACGGGGCCATCCTCGCACTCGCGGGACTGCTGTTGGTTTCGCGTGTTTGCTTGCTCGCATCCGCGCAAGTGGATGAGGAGGCGGGGGAGAGTGCGGCGGAGCAACAGGCGGAGGTTTCGCGAACCATCACCGCGAAGGGTCCGATAGGACACCACCCGGCGGACGCGGCGAGGGACTCGGCAGAGCAGGTGGCGAAGCGGCAGCAGCGGACGACGTCGCCCAACCTTCGCCGCCTCGCGCTATTCGTCGACCCGCTACCCATTCCGCCCGTCGTGGACGCGTCCAAGCTGCCGCGTCGCAACGGGCAGTCGCCCAAGATCACAATCGGCGTGTACAACGTGAAGCGGGTGAGTCACTCTCAATGTCACCTGCTGCTGTCAACTCTAGCGGAAAATGCAACAAGTCTAGATGCACCGGCCTCTTGTATTCGCTGCGTTTTCAATTTTCTGTTCCCTTCTGGCCCACTTGCCCCGCTTCCCTTCACCCCCTGAGCAGAAGTTCCACCGCGACCTGCCGGCCACCAAGGTGTACGCGTTCGGGCTGTCGCGCAGGACGGCGAGCGTGCCGGGGCCGACGATCGTGGCGCAGAATCGGGAGGAGCTGCGCGTGGAGTGGGCGAACAACATCACGGACAAGCAGCACATGTTTCCGCTCGACCGCACGCTCATGATTCCCCAACTCAAGCTCGGCGGTGTCCCCATCGGTGAGGGGCGTAGTGCGGAGGAGATTAGTTTCTCACCGTGATGTTCCAGTGATGTTTTCACTAAGTGTCTCTGTGAGGAGACTGCTGCACGTCTCGCTTCTGCAGCAATGCGACTGCTGCCAAGCGAGTGTAGCCAGCGGAGCTTGTGGCACGGGTTTCACTCACGGGCTCTCTCTTCCTCCCTCGTCGTATCTCCGCCTCCCTGCAGCCGTCCACGTGCACGGCGCGCAGGTGTCGAGCAAATTCGACGGCCATCCGTTCGCGTGGTGGACGAATCGGGGAGAGCGCGGTCCGACGTTCGTATCGAACACGTACACGTACCCGAACGGCCACGCGGCGAGCACGCTCTGGTACCACGACCACACGAGCGGCATGACGCGCCTCAACGTGCTCGCAGGCATGTTCGGCGCATACATCATCCGGCACCCCGAGCTGGAACAGAAATTTAACCTGCCCGAGGGCAGGTACGACGTGCCGCTGGTGATTCAGGACCGGTCGTTTGTGAAGAACGGATGGACGTTCCTGCCGAGCCAAGGCGTGTCCAAGGTGCACCCGCACTGGATGCCCGAACACTTCGGCGACTTCATGACCGTCAATGGCAAGGTCTGTCCCTCTTCGATCGTCCCGTACCCTCATTTTACTTGCGCCAAGTCCACAAGCACTTTGCCTTTACTCGCACTTGCAATGGCGATTCCGATTTTTTCCGCTGCATTGGCCAATGCACCACACTCACCATCGCATTTACACCTCATGCGTGCAGGTGACCCCGTACATGCGCGTGGAGCGCCGGAAGTACCGCTTCCGCATCGTCAACGGCGGCACCGCGCGCTTCCTCGAGCTCGTCTTCCGCGCGGCCCCCGCCAACACCGATCTCACCCTGCGGAACGCGCTCTCCGCGACCCCGCAACTCCCCTTCGTGCAAGTCGCGGCGGACGGCGGGTACCTCAACGCGCCCGTTCCGCTCCGCCGCTCCGTGCTGGGTCCGGGGGAGCGCGCGGACATCGTCGTCGATTTCTCCAAGCTCCCCGCGGGCACCGCGGTGTACCTCACTAACCGCGCGCCCGCGCCTTACCCCGGGGGCGCTGTTCCGCAGGGCGACCTACGCTTCGTGATGCGCTTCGACGTCGTGCCCGCGACGTCCGCCGACACCACGCGCGTGCCAGCCACGCTCCTCAGCATCCCAGCCGTCGATCTCACCAAAGCCGTCAATCTCAAGGCGCCGCGGATCATCAGCCTCACCGAGGTGGAAGACCCCGCATCTGGCGCGCCTGAGTCGGGGCTGATGGAAGGGAAACATTTCAGCGCGCCTGTGACGATTAAACCTAAGTTCGGGACTATGGAGGTATGGTACATAGTTAATCTGTCGGAGGACACGCATCCCGTCCACATTCACTTCGCGCCGCATCGCATTCTCTTCCGCCGCCGCCTCAACACGACGCTGGTGGAAGAGAAGAAATGCAGCATGGCGGGCGGAAGCTGCTTCGTGGGGCGCGCAGTCGCGCCGCACCGGACGGAACGCGGGCGGAAGGACACGAGCAAGGCACCCCCCGGGTGGGTGACGGCGGTGGCTGTGGATTTCGCGCCGTGGCAGGGCAAGGCGCTGCCGTTCGATCCGCGTGAGGGGCCAGGATACGTGCTGCACTGCCACATTTTGGATCACGAAGACAACGATATGATGCGGCCCTTCGTACTCGTGTGAATTGCGGAAATTTGGACCTACCTCGTTGTAGATCGCAAGGGACGTGTACAGTAGGAATGCATGGTTAGGCTCAACACTGACATGTTCAAATAAATGCGCTACATATGCCAACAGCAGCTATCCACATTCCACTAAATTTGATGCATATAGTGACAATAAATGACGTCACTGTGTGCATTACATCAAGCGGTCTATGGCTGCTGCCAGCGTGCCTTGATCTCCTCTGAAGCGTTCTCCATCCGATTAACCGTCTGCGTGATTATATTCCCCACCGCCGTCTGCTGGATCATCTGCCCAACGCGGGTGGCGAGCGACGTCTCTTCTGCGACTTGGGAGGCGTCGGTGCGGCGGTGCCACTGTAGCTCGAGCTGCAGCTGCCCCTTGGAATCAATGAGGGGGTAGAGGTCGTTGATGCGCCCGTTTATCACCACATCGCTCAGCTGTATCTCACAGTACCCCACCGCCTCCTGTGAAATAGAAGAGGGGGGCGGTGGAGAGGGGCAAGGTGGAGGGATGAGAAGGGAGGAGGGGATGGAGAGAGGGGGAGGGGAAGGGGGGAGGAGTGTACTATGTTTCTAGGAATGTCAACTGGAGGCCGGGGAAAGGTCGGCCCTGAACAAGCGACAGCAAGGAAGGCAGGTGGCCCATGGAGTGGATGAGGGGGTAGAGGTCGTTGATTCGCCCGTTGATCACCACATCACTCAGCTTGATCTCACTGTATCCCCCACCGCCTCCTGGGGGAGGGTGACGTTGAGAGGGGGGAAGGGTGCGTTTGTAGTCGCCTCAATACACACTTAATCAACGCGCCGCTCAGCCGTATCTCACACCCGACCGCCTCCTGTGCGAGAGAGAGAGAGGAGGAAGGAGGAGGAAAAAGGGGGAAGAGGGGATGAAGCGCACAGAGGCTCTAGGTGTGTGAGCTGGAGGCCGGAGAAATGTTGGTCGTGAACAAGTGACCAGAAGAAGGAAGACTGGCAAGAGCCATGCGGCTAGACGTGGTTGCGGGCGGGCAGGCAGACACGTGGGCAAAGGGGTGGGCGGGCGAGCGGGGTCGGCAGGCAGGCAGGCAGGCAGGCAGGCAGGCAGGCAGGCAGGCAGGCAGGCAGGAAGGTGGGGGGGACGATAGAGGGGGCAGTACCTTTGAGAGGACGGAGAAGGAGGAGAGGGACTTGGAGAAGACTTTGATGTGCAGTGTGTCGCTCACTGGCGGCTTTTCCAAGAACACCTCAAATGGCTCCTCCTCAAACACCACATCTGCCTGCTTCTTGTAGTGCTGGCAGGAGGAAAGGGGGGGGAGAGGGGTGGCGGGAGGAAAGGGGGGGGAGAGGGGTGGCGGGAGGAAAGGGGGGGGAGAGGGGTGGAGGTGGAGGGGTTGTGTGGGTGGGGAGGGTTGAGCCTACAAGGAAAGAAGCTTCTCCAGGAACACCTCGAACGGCTCCTCCTCAAACACCACATCTGCTTGCTTCTTGTAGTGCTGGCAACGACGGGAGAGAGCGGAAAGGGGAAGAGGGGGGAGGTGTGAGTGGGAAGGGTTGGAAACACATGTGCTTGCTTCTTGTAGTGCTGCCACAAGAGGAGGGAGAAGCGTGGAACGGGAGGAAACGAAGGGGAGGTGGATGGGAGGAGGGTGCTCAAGGGGAGTGAGAAGGGGAGTCATTGGAGAGGGGTTGCAAGAGCAGGGACGAGCAGCAGGTGCTTGGCATTCCTGGCTGCAATAGTTTCAAGAATGCTCAAGCATTGTCCTCTCCCACCTGCCTCTGCTCCAAGAACCTCTCGGCCCACCTGGCTCTGCCACTCCTGGCTGCCCAAGCGCAGCACAACCAACGGGTTGGCATGGTGCCGTGCCTCCAGCCCCTCCCTGCTTCACCCCTCCCTGCTTCACCCCTCCCTGCTTCACCCCTCCCTGCTTCACCCCTCCCTGCTTCACCCCTCCCTGCTTCACCCCTCCCTGCTTCACCCCTCCCTGCTTCACCCCTCCCTGCTTCACCCCTACCTGCTTCACCCCTTACCTGCCTCTGCCATTCTCCATTTCTCCCACGCACCTGGTTCTGCCCACCCTCTTCTGCCTCACACCTGGTTCTCCCCCCCACCTGGCTCTGTCCCCCACCTGGCTCTGTCCCCCACCTGGCTCTGCCACTCCTGGTTGCGAAACCGCAGAACAACGAACGGGTTGGCGTGGTGCCGTGCCTCCAGCCCCTCGCCGCGCTTCAGGATCACGCGCAGCAGCCCGCCCCCCACCGGCACCCACTCGGGGAACGCCTCCGCCTCCTCCTCCTGCATCTCCTCCACGTCCATTGGCGGGGGCGCCTCGTTCTCCCCCAGAGGGCTGGAGGGAATGAGGGCAGGCAAGGGAACAGAGGGGATTGTAAGGCCTTGTCCCGCTCGCCTTTGCCTCCTCCTCCTGCATCTCCTCCACGTCCATTGGTGGTGGCGCCTCGTTCTCCCCCAGAGGGCTGAAGAAAAAAGCAAGATGAGGGAGAGAAAGGAATGGGGTGAGGGGGACGCGCTGGCAGAATTGTTGTTGTCTGGTACTCTTGCCACACTCATTCCATCCACCACGTGCCATCCACCACGTGCCATCCACCACGTGCCATCCACCATGTGCCATCCACCACGTGCCATCCACCACGTGCCATCCACCATGTGCCATCCACCACGTGCCATCCACCACGTGCCATGGCGTGATATGTGTCTGTTTCACGCATCAAATGCCACATCATGCACGCACGCCACAAGTGCAGCAGCGAGCATACACCCACGTGTACAGCGAAAGCACATTTGAGTCAACTCAAAAGCACCCACGTGTACAGCGAAAGCACACACTCCCTGTATCATGCCAGCTCCTCCTCTGAACCATCTGCCCTTGCCCCCCCAAGATGGCTGAAACGTGGCGCCAGGCGCAGTTCAAAGCCTTTGGGCTCGCCCACTGGCAGCTCGCTCAGCGCCACATGCTACATGCATACCACAGGAACAAAAAGGGAGCAGGCACTTACTTGTAGAGCAGGCGGAAGCACACACTCCCGATGTCGCGCCGGCTCCTCCCCCCGGACTGTGCGCCCCCCAGGTCGCTGAAGCGCGGAGCCAGGCGCAACTCAAAGTCCTTGGCCTCCCCCACTGCCAGCTCGCTCAGCGCCACCAGCTGCACGCCCATCAGCCTGTCCGCCTTCCCCTGGGGAGGAAAACGGGGTAGTACGAGGGTGGGGTGGGGAGAGGCAAGTGGGAGAGATGTGGGAGAGGGATGGGAGAGAGGGGAATGAGTGTTGGATCTTACTGAAAGCCCTTTTCCCCACCCACTGCTAGCTCGCTCAGTGCCACCACCTGCACCCCCATCAGCCTGTCCGCCTTGCCCTGGGATGGGAAAAAGGGCAGGATCAGAATGGCAGGAGGAGGACATAAATAGGCGGAGGAAGGGGGGAGAGAGACGGGGATATACATGGAAGGAAGACAAAGGCAAGTGTGTCTCAAAGTGTATCAAACCACTCCCATGCGCCCGCATCGAAACCGGGATACCAGGAAACCGGAAAACGGAAAAACCGGGATACCGGGATACCTGGATACCGGGATGCCGGGATGCCGGGATGCCGGGATGCCGGGAAACCGGGATATCGGGACACCGGGAAACCGGGATACCGGGAAACCGGGATACCGGGAAACCGGGAAACCGGGAAACCGGGATACCGGGATACCGGGATACCGGGATACCGGGAAACCGGGATACCGGGATACCGGGATACCGGGAAACCGGGAAACCGGGATACCGGGAAACCGGGAAACCGGGATACCGGGATACCGGGATACCGGGAAACCGGGAAACCGGGATACCGGGAAACCGGGATACCGGGAAACCGGGATACCGGGATACCGGGATACCGGGAAACCGGGAAACCGGGATACCGGGAAACCGGGATACCGGGATACCGGGAAACCGGGAAACCGGGATACCGGGAAACCGGGATACCGGGAAACCGGGATACCGGGATACCGGGAAACCGGGAAACCGGGATACCGGGAAACCGGGAAACCGGGATACCGGGATACCGGGAAACCGGGATACCGGGAAACCGGGATACCGGGATACCGGGATACCGGGATACCGGGAAACCGGGATACCGGGATACCGGGATACCGGGAAACCGGGAAACCGGGATACCGGGAAACCGGGAAACCGGGATACCGGGATACCGGGATACCGGGAAACCGGGAAACCGGGAAACCGGGAAACCGGGATACCGGGATACCGGGATACCGGGATACCGGGAAACCGGGATACCGGGAAACCGGGAAACCGGGAAACCGGGATACCGGGAAACCGGGAAACCGGGATACCGGGATACCGGGATACCGGGATACCGGGAAACCGGGATACCGGGATACCGGGATACCGGGAAACCGGGAAACCGGGATACCGGGAAACCGGGAAACCGGGATACCGGGATACCGGGATACCGGGAAACCGGGAAACCGGGATACCGGGAAACCGGGAAACCGGGAAACCGGGAGACCGGGATACCGGGATACCGGGATACCGGGATACCGGGATACCGGGAAACCGGGATACCGGGAAACCGGGAAACCGGGAAACCGGGATACCGGGATACCGGGAAACCGGGAAACCGGGATACCGGGATACCGGGAAACCGGGAAACCGGGCGTTCCCCCCCCACCCAGGTGCGTTCACCCCCCACCCAGGTGCGTTCCCAGGCTGCCCAGGCTGCTCGCGAGTCCACTCAAAAGCCAGCAGCACTGCAACCCAAGGCGAGCGTCTCACCGTGTTCTTATCAAACACCTCCACGTGCATCTTCTGCGTAGCGGGGTCCAACACCTTAAGCCGGAGCTCCTCGTCCCCCCAGTCGGGGTTGAGGTCATTGTCCCGCACACTCGACTCGCGGCTGCCCAGGCTGCTGGTGAGGTAGAAGTGCAGGTAGGGGTCGCTCGTACCCACCAGGCCCTGGTTGCGTAGGTTGCTGGCGCGCATGGCGCTGATGGTCAACCACCCCACTGCCAACCTGGGGGATGGGGGCAGGGAACAGGTGGCAGGAAACAGCATATGAAGCGGATGGGTGCTGGTGAGGTAGAAGTGCAGGTAGGGGTCGCTGGTGCCTACCCACCAGGCCCTGGTCGCGCAGGTTGGATACCCGCATGGCGCTTATTGTCAGCCACCCCACTGCCAACCTGAGGGGTGGTATGGGGAGTGACGGAGGCAGGAGAGAGCATGAGGCAGAGGGAAGGAGGCAGGAGGTAGGAGGGAGGAGGCAGGTTTAGGTCGCACGGAGGATGCTGAGCAGGCATGCAAGAGGCGCACTCACTTGGGCTCCTCGTGGTACAGGTCAATGGTCTTGACTTGAGCCACAGGTACAGGTGTGCTATGGCGGCAGGAAAGAGGTCATTGTCAGCTGGGCCACGCGTGAGGGAGCGAGCATGAGGGTGAGTGGAAGGCACTCACTGAGAGGGAGGCACTCACTGAGAGGGAGGCACTCACTGAGAGGGAGGCACTCACTGAGAGGGAGGCACTCACTGAGAGGGAGGCACTCACTGAGAGGGAGGCACTCACTGAGAGGGAGGCACTCACTGAGAGGGAGGCACTCACTGAGAGGGAGGCACTCACTGAGAGGGAGGCACTCACTGAGAGGGAGGCACTCACTGAGAGGGAGGCACTCACTGAGAGGGAGGCACTCACTGAGAGGGAGGCACTCACTGAGAGGGAGGCACTCACTGAGAGGGAGGCACTCACTGAGAGGGAGGCACTCACTGAGAGGGAGGCACTCACTGAGAGGGAGGCACTCACTGAGAGGGAGGCACTCACTGAGAGGGAGGCACTCACTGAGAGGGAGGCACTCACTGAGAGGGAGGCACTCACTGAGAGGGAGGCACTCACTGAGAGGGAGGCACTCACTGAGAGGGAGGCACTCACTGAGAGGGAGGCACTCACTGAGAGGGAGGCACTCACTGAGAGGGAGGCACTCACTGAGAGGGAGGCACTCACTGAGAGGGAGGCACTCACTGAGAGGGAGGCACTCACTGAGAGGGAGGCACTCACTGAGAGGGAGGCACTCACTGAGAGGGAGGCACTCACTGAGAGGGAGGCACTCACTGAGAGGGAGGCACTCACTCAGTGAGACAGAGGCACTCACTTGGGCTCCTCGTGGTACAGCTCGATGGTCTTGGGCCACAGATACAGGTCCGCTATGGCGTCTGATATCAGATTCTGATGGGGCATGGGCATGGGGGGTGGCGTGGGCGTGGTGGTGGATGGGGACAGCGAGGAAAGATTGGCATGTGCAGGGTCTTGGTCATGGCCAGAACATGATGGCATTCACAATGCATGCAAGGATAATAACATCTGTGACTCAGGCAAGAGGAATGGGGCATGGGGAACGGGGAATGGGGAATGGGGCATGGGGCATGGGGCATGGGGCATGGGGCATGGGGCATGGGGCATGGGGCATGGGGCATGGAACCATGAGGCATGAGGCACGGGTGGAACCATGGGGCATGCGGCACATGGCTGCACATATTGAGACGTCTCAAAATGGGGCATGGGGCATGGGGCATGGGGCATGGGGCATGGGGCATGGGGCACACGGCATGCACCTGGGCGAGGTTGCAGAGGCCAGGGATGGCCATGACATCGAGTCCCAGCACTCGCAGGGCGAAGTCCACGTGCGGCTGGCGGTGGTGGGGATGTATGTGTGACGCGTGCATGCCGTGGGGGTGGGGGGGGTGTTAGACGCGAGACAGGAGGGGCGTAAGCAGCAGCAGTGAGTACATGGGTAAAGGACATGGGTTCCGCCAGCACTCGCCTTGGCCACGAGCCAGCCTCACTCGCTTTGCTTGCCCTTTGTCAGCACGCACCCTCGTCGTCCTGTCTGTGACCCCACCCAGCATGGCCCACCTTATCCTTGCTCCCCCCTTCACTTGCCTTGTCCATGAGCGCGCGGGTGATGCGCGAGAAGCAGGGGAAGAGTTTTGAGACGGTCTGTCTCAAAAGCCACCCGCCCACCTGTGCATGAGCCCCCCCCCTTGACTTGCCTTATCCATGAGTGCAAGATTGATGCTCGAGAAGCAGGGGAAGACGGGCACGAGGGGCTTCACCGTGATGCGCGCCACTGCCCTCACATGCAGGTCTGTGAGCTGGGTCGGAAATGGGGATGAGGGATGAGGCATGGGAGATGGAGAATGGGGGATGGCGAATGATAAATGGGTCATAGGGCATGGGGAATGGCGACATGCATGGTGGGGAATGGCGACATGCATGGTGGGGAATGGCGACATGCATGGTGGGGAATGGCGACATGCATGGTGGGGAATGGCGACATGCATGGTGGGGAATGGCGACATGCATGGTGGGGAATGGCGACATGCATGGTGGGGAATGGCGACATGCATGGTGGGGAATGGCGACATGCATGGTGGGGAATGGCGACATGCATGGTGGGGAATGGCGACATGCATGGTGGGGAATGGCGACATGCATGGTGGGGAATGGCGACATGCATGGTGGGGAATGGCGACATGCATGGTGGGGAATGGCGACATGCATGGTGGGGAATGGCGACATGCATGGTGGGGAATGGCGACATGCATGGTGGGGAATGGCGACATGCATGGTGGGGAATGGCGACATGCATGGTGGGGAATGGCGACATGCATGGTGGGGAATGGCGACATGCATGGTGGGGAATGGCGACATGCATGGTGGGGAATGGCGACATGCATGGTGGGGAATGGCGACATGCATGGTGGGGAATGGCGACATGCATGGTGGGGAATGGCGACATGCATGGTGGGGAATGGCGACATGCATGGTGGGGAATGGCGACATGCATGGTGGGGAATGGCGACATGCATGGTGGGGAATGGCGACATGCATGGTGGGGAATGGCGACATGCATGGTGGGGAATGGCGACATGCATGGTGGGAATGGCGACATGCATGGTGGGGAATGGCGACATGCATGGTGGGGAATGGCGACATGCATGGTGGGGAATGGCGACATGCATGGTGGGGAATGGCGACATGCATGGTGGGGAATGGCAAGCCAGAAGAGGAGCTCCATGTTGCGGAGTTAAGATCCAAGCACTCATGGCGTCTGGTCCATGCACCCATGCATACAGGCAAGCACTCATGGCGTTACAAGTGACAAGTATGGACTCTTCCTGTATTATGTGCGAACATACGAGGGGAGCAGCAGGGGGCACGGGAGCATGGGGGCATGGGAGCATGCGAGAGAGAACAAGTAGCATGGGGGCCGCACCTGTACGGAGAGGTTAAAGCCATGCAGGGAGGCAGTGACGGCGATGTTGTTGTTTGCCGCCCACCGCATGACAGGCTGAATGATCACCTCGTCATCGTGTGTCTCCAGCGACTTGATGGCTGATGGGGGGGGCGAGTAGGGGTGGGAAATGGGAGTTGTGCGAGGTGATGGGCGTTGGCAAAGCATAACAGGCTGAATGATCACCTCGTCGTCGTGTGTCTCCAGGGACTTGATGGCTCATGGAATGGTGGTGGTAGGGGGGGGGGGAGGGGGAGTTGGGTGGTGCGAGTTGTTGGCGGCGTCATCGTGGGTCTCCAGGGACTTGACGGTTGGTGGGGGCGGGCGAGTGGGGGTAGGGGACGGAGTGAGAGGTGATGGGAGTTGGCAGCGCATGACAGGCTGGATGATAGCCTCATCGTCGTGTGTCTCCAGGGACTTGATGGCTGGTGGGGGGTGAATGGGGGTGGGGGGTGGGTGTTGTAAGCGAAGAGCTGATGAGTGGTGACGTGCGATAGAGAGAGTTGGTGGTATGGGCTCAGCAGCAGGCTGCATGATCACCATGCGCCTCCAGGGACTTGATGGCTGGTGGGGGTGCGGAGCGGGGGATGGAGGGGGTCAACGACGGGATGCATGGTCAACCGCGAGTCATGCGTCTCCAAAGACTTGATAGCTGTCCGGGCCCCGGGGGTTGATATCCTGAGCCATGAGACAGATGGACAGATGGACAGATGGACATGGTGGAGTGCCATTGCATGGATGGACGTGCATGGAGCAGTAGCAGCGATCCCTTAGACATAACATGGTGTGTGTGGGAGAGGGCAGGGTCAACGAAAGGGTCAATGAAAGGCAGGGCAGGCTCAACGGTGGCCTGGCCGTGACGTGATGGTAGGAAGGGGCATGTGCGATGACATAGTGGCGTGAGGGGTGAGCGTGGGAGAGAGAGGGGGCACACACCGATGATGGCGGGGGGGAGGGGGCCGAGGGAGAAGTGGGAGAAGGAGAGGGAGTGCAGGAAGGAAGGCTTGTTTGCAAGCAGCATGGGCGTCACATCCCTCTGCACCGCCTCTGACACCGCCTGGTGGGGGAGAGATGGGGGAGAGGGGAGAAGTGGTGAGATTGGGAGTGGCGTAAGGCAAGAGGCGGTGTGGGGTGCAGCAGCGGCTGAAAAGAGGCGTCACACCCCTCTGATAGCGCCTGGTGGGGCAACGAGAGGGAGAGGGAGGAGAGGAGCGACGCAGAGAAGCAAAGGAGGCACTCTCTTCCTCATTCTCTCCGTGCCCGGCTAGAAAACAGAGTGAACGGCGACTGACAACACAATAATAAGCAGCAGCACGTGCATCATACACCATGCAAAGGAAAAGCATACAGCAAGTGGGTGGGTGTGGGCGAGAGGGCGAGAGGATGAGTGGTTTGAGGGGCGCAGGGCGCACCTTGTTGGCATACAGCTACACCCTACACCTGTGTGTGAGGCGCATTGAACAACAGGCGCACCTTGTTGACATAGGGCCACATCTCCGCCACTATTCGATTGAGCCAGTCCACCTGCCGTGCGGTGCGGGGTGAGAGTGAGAGTGACGAATGGACGGGCAGGTTCGAGAATTCGTTAAAGTGTTTCAGATTGTGCGGGGGACACAAGGAAGGATAAGACGAAGGCACACTGTGACACAGCTACCAGCCACGACAATCATGGATGGAGCCCCACTCACCTCCCCCCATTGACCTCCCCCCATTGACCTCCCCCCACTGACCTCCCCCCATTGACCTCCCCCCATTGACCTCCCCCCATTGACCTCCCCCCATTGACCTCCCCCCATTGACCTCCCCCCATTGACCTCCCCCCATTAACCTCCCCCCATTGACCTCCCCCCATTGACCTCCCCCCATTGACCTCCCCCCATTGACCTCCCCCCATTGACCTCCCCCCATTGACCTCCCCCCATTGACCTCCCCCCATTGACCTCCCCCCATTGACCTCCCCCCATTGACCTCCCCCCATTGACCTCCCCCCATTGACCTCCCCCCATTAACCTCCCCCCATTGACCTCCCCCCATTGACCTCCCCCCATTGACCTCCCCCCATTGACCTCCCCCCATTGACCTCCCCCCATTGACCTCCCCCCATTGACCTCCCCCCATTGACCTCCCCCCATTGACCTCCCCCCATTGACCTCCCCCCATTGACCTCCCCCCATTGACCTCCCCCCATTGACCTCCCCCCATTGACCTCCCCCCATTGACCTCCCCCCATTGACCTCCCCCCATTGACCTCCCCCCATTGACCTCCCCCCACTGACCTCCCCCCATTGACCTCCCCCCATTGACCTCCCCCCATTGACCTTCCCCCACTGGCCGCCTCCCCCCAGCGCGTTCACCCGCTCATAGTCGGGGTTGCTGACCCACGGCGGCAGGTGCACGAAGAACCTTCTCAGCGCCTTCTCGTCCAGCCCCTCCGCCGGCGCCGCGCGCTGCTCCACCTCCTGCGCGGGCGCGCGCGCGGGGGGGGGGAAGGGCGAAAAGGGCGGAAAGAGGGAGGGAGACGCGCACTGACGGCGAAAGGCACAGTCGACGGCCAACGAGGCCCCTTTACGACGAGAGGCGTGCCGTGACGGCGAAAGGAGTGTCTAGACGGCGAAAACGGTAACCTAACGGCCAAAACGGTAACCTTACGGCTAGCAGGCTACCTTGACGGTGAGCGGCAGCGGGTAGATGAGGAGGAGGTAAGCGGCGGCGAATCCGGCGAGGAGGCCGGCGAGGAAGACGAGCGCGGAAGACGCGTAACCTAGGAGCTCGAGCGACGCCGCGCAGAGCAGCACCGGCACGCGCAGCAGCAGCTCCGCCGCCGACATTTCCGCGGAGCAGCGTTGACTTCTAAGACTGACTTAGAACAGCAGCTGCTCCGCCGACATGCCGCGCGCGCTGACACGTTCACATTAAAGTCGGACTTAGAGAAGCCGTTTCACTACTGGCATGACGCGCGCTGGCGTTGAATCCTTAGTCGACTAACTAAAGCGGTTTCACCACGAACACGTCTGCTGACGTTGCTCGAGCGGCCGGCGGCGATTACGAGACGCGCGGATTGCGGCGCATGAGATGCTGAGCGGCGTGGCGCATTCTACGCTAGCAATGGGACCCGTCGTCGGCTTGTAAGGAGTCGAAGCGCGTTGTGCTGGTTTCAGTCAACCAGGAGCAGTTTCCGCAGGTGTGAAGAGAGTTCAAGGTGCAGAGCGGTGCTAACGAGTTCCAAGCAGAAGTTCGTCACAAGACCTGCCGCACAGACGGCGCTACAGTGCAACGAGAGTAATCTGTAAAATATCATATCAGTACCGCTGGGAAGTTACACAAATATTGCATGCAAGAAACTTCCATATCCCGTAAAATAGATTATAAGCTGTTGCTATCATTCAACATTGTATGATGAATAAATTTGGGAACAGTGGAGGCCATCCTGGTCATACACTGCCTTGGCCGTACTGCATGCCTTGCCTTGGCCCACACAGTTGAGCTCCAATCCAAGCTCCAACCTCCAGAACCGGCCACCATGCGTTGCGAGACGTTTGAGACGCCTCTAGAACCTGCCTTGCCTTGGCCCATACAATGCGGTACCAGCCTCCTATGCCAGCCACCATGCGTTGCTACAGCATGGCATGTCACACAGCACGTTACCACTCCCACCACCACTATCACCCCCCGCCACCACCACCGCTCCCATTCCCAGCAACCAGCACCACCGCATGGATCAAGGAGTGGAGGGTAAAGTGACAGAGTAGCTACAGATTGGAGCTGAAAGAAAGCGGCACTGGCTTCAAGCCAGAACAGCAGCAAGGCGGAGGAGTTGAGGGCCCTAGGTTGAAGTCATGCTGAGGAGGGAAGGCGGGTTCCTCTGTCACACTGCGTTGCCCCAACCAGGAGGAATTGATGGCATGCCAAGGCTGAACAGGAAAGTTTCTGTGTCACACTGGCTTGCCTAAATCTGGGGACTTCACCCCACAATAATGCCTCCCACAATCCCGAGGCTAAGTTTCATCCTGCTTTCCCAGCCTTGTGGTAGTGGTGGGGAATGGTGATGGAGGGTGATGGTGGGAGTGATGGCATCGTGTGGAATCACAATCAACACCACTCACACTCACAACCACTTCCACTCACCCACCCTTGGGGATTGTACCTTCTTCTCTTTCCACTCACTTACTTTTGGAGATTCATCCCATGCCACCCAAATGAGCATCATGCTCTCATGCAACAGGTGGCATCAGTGCCATAGGGCTCATCCCATGCCACCCAAATGAGCATCATGCACTCATGCAACAGGTGGCATCAGTGCCCTAGGGCTCATCCCATGCCACTTAAATGAGCATCATGCTCTCATGCAACAGGTGGCATCAGTGCCCTACGGCTCATCCCATGCCACCCAAATGAGCATCATGCTCTCATGCAACAGGTGGCATCAGTGCCCTAGGGCTCATCACATGCCACCCAAATGAGCATCATGCTCTCATGCAACAGGTGGCATCAGTGCCCTAGGGCTCATCACATGCCACGCAAATGAGTATCATGCTCTCATGCAACAGGTGGCATCAGTGCCCTAGGGCTCATCCCATGCCACCCAAATGAGCATCATGCTCTCATGCCTTCTCACTCCACTTTCCCTGGGGGATTCAGGCACCCACCATTGCCCCTCAATCAACTCACCCTAAGGTTTCAACCCTCCCTTTCTCCTCGCCCTCTCACTCCACTTACCCTGGGGGAATCAGGCCCCCACCATTGCCCATCAGGCACTTCTCTTCCACTCACCCACCCAAGGGGTTTCAGCCCCATCTCACCACTCACCCACCCAAGGGGTTTCAACCCCTTCTCACCACTCACCCACCCAAGGGGTTTCAACCCCTTCTCACCATTCACCCACCCAAGGGGTTTCAACCCCTTCTCACCACTCACCCACCCAAGGGGTTTCAGCCCCTTCTCTTCCACTCACCCACCCAAGGGGTTTCAGCCCCTCCTCACCTTCACTTGCCAGCAGTAGGAGCAGCAGACAGCTCACTTCCTCAAGGAAACAACACCCCAAGAGGCTGTGCCTTGTGGGGCGAGGTGTGGTAGTGGAAAATTGCTTCCAGCCCAAGACTCAAATCCCACCCCTGACGTAGCCAGAGCTGACGCGAACCAGAGCCGCCGGCCGGTCGGCTCTGACGGTGTCCATTAAGCTTTGAACGCCAGATCGGTTACTTGAGCACCGAGTGCCGTGCCGCGCAGATTCCACCCACCACACCCCGACCCACAACCCACAACCCCAGGAGATGCTGTCCCTAAGGCAGTGAACTCCCCACTTGCTCCCTTGCTCCCCACCCACCCACCCCACACTTCACCCACATGCCTCCTTACCTCTACTCACCTGTACTTACCTGAGCCGTGCAGAGCGCCATGATGCTGAGGCTGCTGGGAAGGGGGGGGGTGATTAGGAGGGAGGGGGGGGCAGGACTCCTCTGTGATCCAGTCAGGGTGCTGCTGGGAGGGAAGGGAGGGAGAAGGGAGAGGGGGGGAGGTGAGTAAGAGGGTGCACTTCACTCTCCCGTCCTTGCTCCAGTGATCCCACCTTCAGCCTGCAGGAGGGGAAGAGAGAGAAGAGGGGATCAGCTTACCATACCTCACCTGTAACCATACCACACCTGTTACCATACCACACCTAGTACCATACCTCACCTGCAGCTATATCTACCCTAATCTGCCCTCTAGGCCCTCAGCCCCCATTGCTGCTACTGCTGATGCTGCTGCTGCCGCTTCTGCTGCTGCTACTGCTGCTGCCTGTCTGCTACCGCCTTCGATGTCCTGGGAGGGAAGGGAGAGGGAGTGAGGTAGGGGAGCAAGGGAGACCAGTGAGAATGGGATGAAGAGCAGGCAGCAGCGTGAAGACAGGGAGAGGGCAAGAAACGAGAGCGAGCACGGGAAAAAGACCGGCAGCAGCATAAGTGCATGAGGGAAAAGAGGCTCACCTTGTTCCAGACGACCCCATCCGGATACTCTCCCTTTCCATCCCAGCCGAGTGGAGTGCTGCCCCGCTCCCTGCACGGCCACTGGGGAGGGGCGTGAGGGAGCTTCGGTGTTGACCCCACACCCCTCCCCGCCACCTGCAACGCGCACACACAGAGCTAGTCAGAGCGCGGTGGTGGGAGCAAGTTGAAGGGGAAACTGTGACTTGAAATCCAGCGCAAGGGAAGGGAGGAGGAGCCACTGGTGGAGGCACGGCCACAAGCTGCAGACCCGAGGGCACCTGAAAAAAAACCTGAGGGGTGAACCTGCACCTGAAGGGGTTACCTGCACTGCACCTAAGGGGGTTACCTGAAGTGAGGGGGTCTGAGGCATGCAAATCGTGCTCAACCAGTGGCATTGTTTCAAAGGGAAGGCGAATGCACAACCGGCAAACGAACTGGCAGCAAGAAAGCAACAAGCCATGATGTGGCGGGCAAGGGTGAGGGCATGGAAGTGGGTGACTTAGCTGATAGCGTGAGGGCGAGCTCAAGGCAGCTGCAGAACCACCAGCTGCCTCCCTCCGCAGCAGCCCTCCTCCAGGTGCCTCCTCCCTGCACGGCCACTGGGGAGGGGCGTGAGGGAGCGTCAATGTTGACCCCACACCCCTCCCCGCCACCTGCAACGCGCACACACAGAGCTAGTCAGAGCGCGGTGGTGGGAGCAAGTTGAAGGGGAAACTGTGACTTGAAATCCAACGCAAGGGAAGGGAGGAGGAGCCACTGGTGGAGGCACGGCCACAAGCTGCAGACCCGAGGGCACCTGAAAAAAAACCTGAGGGGTGAACCTGCACCTGAAGGGGTTACCTGCACTGCACCTAAGGGGCTTACCTGAAGTGAGGGGGTCTGAGGCATGCAAATCGTGCTCAACCAGTGGCATTGTTTCAAAGGGAAGGCGAATGCACAACCGCAAAGGAACTGGCAGCAAGAAAGCAACAGTGTAAAAACGACAAGAGTGATTCAGTATGAGCAGTGAGCAGCAGGCAAGAGTGGGTCCAGGGAGGTGAGAGCACTTAGCTGGCAGCTGAAGAGATGCTGCCTCGTGTCCCCTTCCCTCCCCTCCCCTCCCCTACTGCTTCCGCGCCCCCTGCTGCTGACGCTGCCACAGCAGGTCCCTTCAGCTGTCTCTGCTGCATTGCGAGTGACCTGGAGGGGGGCAGAACGGAAGGGAAGGTCAAGTGGGGAGTGAGTGCAGGCCTTGAAACAGGCACGGGCGATTCAAAGGGATCTTGCTGCAGTGGGATTGCCATGCTGCAGTGCTGCCTCCCTCCCGTCCCCACGAGTCCCTGCACGGCCACAGGGGAGGGGCGTAGGGAAGCGTCGGCGTTGGCCCCAGTGCCCCTCCCCTCCACCTGCAACGCACACACACGGCGGTGGTCAGTATGCATGGCATGGGCACAACACAAGGCAGAGAGCGGAAAGTGCCAAATGTGGAAGAGAAAGGGAGGGCCACTGGTTGAGGCCAGGCCACACGCCACAGACGCCAAGGGAACCTGCACCTGAAGGGGGGACCTGCACCTGAGAGGTTTACCTGCACCTGAGGAGATACCTGAAGAGAGGGGGTCTGAGGCATGTAAACCGAGCTCAACCAGTGGCATTGTTTCAAAGGGAAGGCGAATGCACAACCGGCAAACAAACTGGCAGCAAGAAAGCAACAAGCCATGATGTGGCGGGCAAGGGTGAGGGCATGGAAGTGGGTGACTTAGCTGATAGCGTGAGGGCGAGGTCAAGGCAGCTGCAGCACCACCAGCTGCCTCCCTCCACAGCAGCCCTCCTCCAGGTGCCTCCTCCCTGCACGGCCACAGGGGAGGGGCGTGAGGGAGCGTCGGAGT